TTCTAATATAAATTAATTAAATTCTAAAAGAAGATAGAAAAAATAATTATTATTTAAGTGGAAGCGAAGGTATCCTAAATTAAATAATTAATTCTAATACAATTCTTTTTCTAATAACCTTCTTAGAGATACTAAATTGTATACTATCCCAGGTATAAATGTAATATTGTTAAATTTAAGACTAATAGGGGATCCTTCGTTGTTACTTAGTATTAGGTAGATTAAACTGTATCCTTCAATTGTAATAGACTTATTTCCTACCTAAATGTAGTCTCCTTCTTTTATTAATTTAAAACTTTTAAACCGACCGGCCTTATTAAAAATATAAATTATTATACCTAAATTAAGAATCGCTAAGTCTCTTAGTAGGTACTTTAATTTATTTTTATAGGGTTTTAGTACTAAGAAATTCGCTTCGCAACGTATACTACTAACCCGCCGGCCGTTGAGTTAAAAACTACTAACGTTATTTTAGTAGGATTTATTAGTCTTCTTAACGGTATTGTCTTTTAAGATCTCTCGGATTTTATTTATAAGCTTAGGGTCTTTTTAATAATTTTTATTAATTCGCTTACGTATATACTAGTTTTCTCTAAAATCTTCTAATTAGTTCGTTGGGATAATATATTAATAATATTTAAGCTTATAATTTATATATTTATAAGTATCATAGGGCTAGCGCCCAAGGGTATTATTTGCCTAGCTAGCACCCAGTGTAAGCCAGGTGTGCCCTCTAGTTGGGTGTACGGGCCAGTCGGCTGCCGTTAGCTGTCTTAGCGCTAGATACACTGCGTGCTATTGGGTGCATCCCTCGGGAGCTGCACGGGCCACATTTCTGGCCTTAGTATTCTTGGTATTTCTAGTACCTTCGATGCTTACTGTATTTTGTATATTTAGCTGGAAGCTCTGTACCAGTAGGGCACAAACTTCCCTCTTCCTCTTTATCGATTATTTTAAACTCTTTTCAAGGCCTACCTACGTATATACCTCGTAGATCCCTTATATTATAGTCAACCCTCTTTTTTAATCTTTCTCTAATTCCCTAATAGTCTCTAATATATTCGCCGCTATACCGATCTTCTCCAATTACCAAAGAATATTCCAACTACTAACCCCTTTTTTTTTACCTTACTATACTACTATAATTTTAATTCCGTAGGTTTAGAATACTTTCGAATGCTAATAATAGTTCGCTACAGCTATTTAAGTTCTAGTTAACAAACTAGCTACTTTAAAAGCTTTTAGAACCAAGTCCTCCAGCACCTTAAAATTGGTGCTCCCGTACTTAAATAAATATACCGATGATAAAAAAGAGTTAGATTCGTAGATTTATACGGCCGAGGCTAAATTTTACATTAATAGCCGCACTATTAGTAATTTAGAAGCTTAATTTTACTACTTTTATTCTAACCTTTTACCCGCTATCCGCCGGACTCTCTTCTCCTTTACGTAGTCTCTAACCAACCGGACGCCGGCTGGGCTTCTTAAAAAGCTCTAAGTTAATTATAAAGAAGTTAACCAAAATAAGAAAGCTGGCCTTAAGCTCTTTACCTTGCAATAGAAGTTTCGAGAGTCTATATCCTACTTTTTTATCCGCCTTAAAGAAATCTTTTACTGAGCTAAAGTTAATATATAATTAAATTAGGCTATTATTAACTCGTTAATATCCTCCTTAAATAATTAATAGCTCGGGCGCTTCTATAAACGGCCGGAAGCTCTAAATTCCTATTCGGAGCTTTGCGTATTTTTGAAATGCTTTAATAGTAATAATTTCCTTAGAAAGAATAGTACAGAGTACTCTAATACTGCCGTCTATATCAATAAGGGGGAATCGATAAATATTGCTATTACCCGGGCTCGGCTTGCCCCGGTAGGGAGCTCTAGCAACTATAATAGTAACAGTCTAACGGAAATATAGTAAAAGAAGTAGAAGAAGAAAAGTACCTATACGGTTTACGGCTTGCTTTCCTATTAGGTTAAGGATTGTAAGTAAAAGGTCTAAATTTAGTATATCCGGGTTGCTCTAGAATTGGAATGGGGCCCGGAGGAAAATAATGAAATTAATAATAATGGTAATAAGTACTAAGGTAGTATAGATATTGGCCTAATAAAACCCAAAGGGTACTAGGGCTCCTAATAGAAATTCGGCTAAATTCTAGAAATTTCCGGCCTAGGAAGGCCGTACGTACCCTATTAGCATATAAGGTAGTAGCGAATCTTACTAAAAGTATATACACTACGTACTATTATTACTAAGGATAGGAAATAATAGGATAATAGTCTTTATAGTTAAATGGAATTGGGCGTTATAGGGCATTTGGAGGATGCCCGGCATGGTAGCTACCGTATAGCCTGGGGGTAAATAGAGCTGGTACTAGCGTATATATAAATAATAGGTATTAAAGTAATAAATAGGACTTTCTTGGGGAGATATGTTCGAGTGATTCGGCTGTTAATTATTTATTCAATTATTTTCTCTTATAAAAACCCAGGTAGTAAAGAATTGGGAGTACTCAGGAGTACGCCGGGGGTATTAGAGCGCTTGGATTCTTTCTTATATATAATATTTCTAGCTATTTTTCGAAGGGAGAGGTAGGAAGTAATGTTATGGGGCTAGCGCCTAGGGGTATTATTTACCTAGCTAGTACCCAATATAAACTAAGCGTACTATCTAATTGAGTGTACGGGCTAGTCAGCTGCCGTTAGCCGTCTTAGTACTAAATACACTGCGTGCCATTGGGTACATCCCTCGGGAGCCGCACGGGCCACATTTCTAGCCTTAGCATTCTTAGCATTTCTAGCACCTTTAATACCTATTGTATTTTGTATATTTAGTTGGAAGCTCTATACTAGTAGGGTACAGACTTCCCTCTTCCTCTTTGTCGATTATTTTAAGCTCTTTTTAAGGCCTACCAGCGTGTATACCTCGTAGATCTCTTACAATAAGTAGGGCAAGCCCTCTTCGACCGTTTATTACAATTTTAATAATTTTAATAATTACCGGCCAGCCTTTTACTTCTATTGTCCCGGGGGCTATTGGAAGCGTTCCTATTATGTTCTGTATATATAATTGCCGTTCCGAACGTATTACCTTTATAGATTTAGGAACGACCCTTATTTAATAGAAATACTTTAAGGACCGCTTATTTAAATTCCCGAGCTATATTTATAAAAGTATAAAGTTTATTATTTTTAATTTAGTAATATACTATAGCCCAAATAATAAATAGAGAACCGGGGAATTTGTTTATTATATAAAAGAAGTCTTAACGCTAATTTTCAGGGTTAATATATTCGTCGATATTATAATATTAGCTAATAGTTATTACCCCCTCCTATTCTTTAAATTAAGTAATCTAACTCTTTTGGGTATAGGTAAAGCGGACCTTCTCCTAGTATTTAGCGCGGGCGTTATTTTAAACTCTAACTAGGTTATAACTAATCAACGTACGGAATTTATTGTACTAAATAGTAATAATTTTGGTTTTTAGGAAGTAGGTTAAATAAAACTTCTTTATAGTATACTTCTTTGTCTAATTCTTAATATTATTAATATTAGTAATAAATTTATTTTAATCCTTCTTTTTATAGCGGTAATTAATTAGAGCCGCTTTATAATTATAAAAATTAGACTTAAATATAAAGCTTAGGCGCTTAGTAGTAAAGGAGACCTTTACGGGCGGATTAAGAGGAGTTAAAGCTTAAATAAATATTAGGGTCTAGGCCGGGATTATAGTTAACCGGGTAATTTAAAATAGCCGGGTATCAACTACTGGGGGGCTATCGTTTACTTTTGTAGTTTTAAAAATCTATTACTAAATTTAAATATCTTTAAAAAATTCTTAAAAATTAGTAATTAGTAGTTTAATAGGAGTAGTAGGCTAAGGGATTCGCTTTTCGAGATCCGGGTTAATAAAAGACTAGAGCTCCTTATTAAAAACCTTATCTTTAAATCCCTTCTCCCAAAGATACTAATCTTCAAATTTATTAAAGATAACCTCGCTAACAGTCTTAAAATCAATAGAAGTAGATATTATTACATTGCGTTGTATTACTTTATTTATTTTGGTAGGTAATTGCTGTACTATATCTACCCGGATTACTTTAATTAGTAATTATTACATATAAGATTCTTAATTATAGAATACGGGTACGAGCAGGGGTATTAATTTAATAGAGGGTGCAGACTATATATTGTATAGAGCTCTATATTGGGAAAATCCCTCACACAGAAAATCTAGTATCGAGGTAATACCAGCGTAGCCCGCTTACGTAAGGTCTAGGCTGGCCACCCTGGTCACCTCTTTTATCTGACACGTTCCCGTTATGCGGACCCGCTGCGGGACGAGTAGAATGTGGGGAAGGACTCCACACTGTTGTTTTTGAGCAACCCTTCGTTTTGTTCGACCTTAGGTTGCGCCCTTCTCAACTTGAGAGGTAGAGAATTGATATCGTGCGACCGCAAATGTAGGTACACCGCATGTGCTTGTGACTGACAGGTGGGTGGCATTGCAGGGAGATCAGTATGTAGGTTAGTATACAGTAATGCTTGAGACCGCTGTCGCCGGCATTGCTTGAAGTGCGTACTATTATCGTACGTATTACAAGCAAACCTCAACTAGCTTACAAGGACTGGGTAGTGGTAATTGCTCGACTTGATGGTGTCGGTTCTAGACTGATCTAAACAAAGCCTCAAGGGCTGATCTAGAGAAGATAGCGTGGCCCTTTCCTTCAGTTTCAGCTGACTATCCGAATTGTTAAGGGATGGCAATTAGTTTACAATGAATTTTAACCCAACAAAGATGTATCGAGGTGACCATTTTCATATTCCTGCGCCCGCTCCTCCCCAATGTACATATGTAGCACACAAGAACTAGAGTTCAGCAAAAAACGCCAAGCATACCTAAAGATAAAAGACGCTCCACTAGGGTGTGGAAATCGAAGAAACGCAGAGATGGGGAGAAGGGGCGTGACAAACACAGGCACACAACTGCTGCCACTCACTCTTCGTCATCATCAACACCCTCGATGACCATTCCCAGCGCATTCGGTACTCCCACAAGAATCTTTCCCTTGGGTACCCTCACACTCTTCACCTTCATGCAGCCAAACACATTCAGCTCATGCAGATTGGGACAGCACTTGAAAATGCTTCCAACAACGAAATCCGTTACCTCCTCACAAAAGCTGATTTCCAGGTTTTTCAACTCAGGATAAACCTTTTTGCCATCCGAAGGGAAGACCTCCTCAAAGGCTTTTGCTGAGATGTGTCTGCACCCGTGCACATTCAGGTGCTGGATCTTTCTTCCGGAATGTGCCATCAATGCCTTGAAGCCTCTGTCGCACAAGCCGATGTTGTCCGGGTTTTGGCGCGGGTTTGCCGAGTCTACCTGTCGACATTTTTGCAGGTCAACAAACAGTAAGCACTTGTTCTCCCAGTTGGTAAAGAGGCGGGCAAAGCCTTCATCCGTCATGACTTCGCTGTCGGTTATGCGCAGCTTCTGCAGCGAGCGACAGTGGTTGTGTATAGCGTCCAGGACAGTGTTGTCCAGTTCAATCTCGCGCGTGATAGAGAACGTCTCGAGATTAGGACCGATAGAGGAGAGAACGTTGACATATACATCCGAATGGACGTGATTGCGCAGATCAATGCTCAGGTGCTTGAGGTGGTGGAGTTGGGCGAGGTGCTTGACGCCTTCGCCGGTGATCTTCTGATTGTGGCATGCCTTAAGACGAACCAAGGACGGACATGAAGAGGGAAGGGCGGCCAGAGCAGAGTCGCCAAAGTGCTTGTCCGTCCAGTAAACGCGGAGTGATTGTAGGGATTTTCCCTTCTTTTGGAGAAACTCCAGCCATTTCTCTTCGGCAATGAGATTAGAGCCATGCAGGTAAAGGTCCTCGAGCTCTGTTTTACGAGAGACAAGGAAATCCATGACTTCGTCTTTGAAGTGGATGGCGTTCCTGGCTTTCAGCCTTTTCAGTCCTGGTACGGTCTGAAAGATGCGGATATAATCGTCGGCGGAAAGCTTGGCGCCGTCGTAGATGCAGACCTCATCGGCCGTTGGCTGCAAAAAAAGACTGAGAGTTGTAGGGTTGAGAAGTCTATGTTTCGAGAGCTTCCGGGCGATTTTATCGATGACGGGCTGAGGCAAATCGCCCAGATCTTCAGCCAGATCAATGTTCTTAGCCAGAGTCTCAATGCAGAGCGTCATCAAGCTCTTGGCTCCAAGTTGAAATGTGCCGTCCAGAATTTTGCTTTGGATCTGTCGGCGTCTCCCTACCGGACCGGCAGCAGCCCGCTTGGCTGGCTTCTTCTTTGGCGGCGCATCTTTATCCATCTCTTTTCCACAGGGGCTGCACAGCAAGCCTCCATCGGGATGATTGCGTGAGTATGCAGTGACAGTGAACCGCTTCCCGCAGTTGGCGCAATTGTCCATCTGGCCGGGTAAAGGCGCGCGCTCCCGAAGCAAAGTGTCCAGCAAATCGTCATCTGCGTCATCCTCGCCTGCATTTCGCTTCCGCTTCTGGTAGGTTTTGCTGGCTTTGATCTTGTCAATGACCTTTTGGTCCTTCTTTCGTCGGGATGTCCTGGTTGTGACAGTAACAGAGGTTGTGACTGTAGATGACTCTCCCACTTCGTCTTCCGCAACCTGCTGCTGATTTGAGGAGCTACTAGCCCCATTCTCCTGTTCTGCTGCTCTTCGTCGCGCATCGGCATCAAGACGAATCTGGTTGGCCGAGATATTGTGCGACTAGATGCAAAATGTGAGGATTTTGACAACACTGGGGTCTCCGAGCTGGATCACTTACGGCCAAGAAATCGGTCAGAGCCGATTGACTGCGAAAAGTGTCAGCATTTCGATGTTTGTTCGCCAAATAAAAATTCGGGGAAAATTTGTGAGAACGTACGGTCCCCTAATCTGACGACCGGCCCTGTTGTTCTGCTGTCTCGACCTGGTGGGTGACATTAGTGGTCGTTTGCTGATCGATCGTCAACAACAAACGACTTACATTTTGGCGGGGCCGTGCACCGGCGAAAGTTCCCTGTGATGCTATCTGGGTTATAGCGATGGGGTGTTGAGAACTGTCAGTCGAGCAGTATGGAAGTGTCTACAACTCTGGACGAGCGACGAAAACAAATGAAGGTCTCCAGAAGAAGAAACAAAAACAAACGCAGGAAGGGCGATGTTTGGAAAAAAGTTTCGGGCAAAAGAAAGGTGAAGGGGAAGCACAGCAACGACAGTACGGGAAGTGACGCCCGTGGCGGGACGTGATGAGGGGCAAATTCCATTAAAGTTTGCGACAAAGGTGCCTCTTTCAGGCAGTCTGCACCGTGCCAAGGGAGGAACTGCCCTGTAAGAGCTGCTTCTGCCTGAGGATGGAACCAGCTCGACCAATCAAGTCATTGGAAGGTCATGTGCCCTCGCGTTAAGACGACGCGCGCTTTCCTTGTCCACAGTGGGGGAGCCACGGATCATGTCTCTTGCTTTGTAACACAAAGTGGAAGCTGCGTCGCCCACTCGGGAAAGCTGAAAAGCCTTCGAATTTGCCGGTGAATGAAAGGAGCAGTGGCGATTCGCCTCGACTTCTGTCGACGTGCCGGGAAATTTCAGTTCTCCTGCATCTCGCTGCATCTCCATTTCATCCTTCCTGTCCGTCCTCTGTGAATCACTGAGTGTGGCTACCTCCTCCCGGACCACACTTGTTAGAAGGTGCCCATTTCAACTTCATTCGGGACACATCCGCTTCGAAATCTGGGAGCGCAGGGCGTTACGTCGTTCATTCTCTTTTCACCTGCGAATTTCACCGCTCGTTTATTGGTGGTCTGATTGTCTGTTTTTTTTTCTTTCCTAAGACCTGTTGCCTGTCTATCACTTTGTCGATCAGGCATAATCTCGTACCTTGCGAGATTCCTCAGGACGTTCCCCGCAGTCCGATACTTTGCCTTTATTTGTCCATCAAATACTGGTTGAATTTAGGACCCTCCTCTTTATCAAAAAACCACACTTCAGAAGCACCTGATCAACCCCGTCTCGGTGTTACCCTAACTTGAGACTTCTCGTTCAATAGGTTGAACTGGTTTTACCACGGAAGATGGTCAGAACCAGAAGATCCGTGGCTGCGGCCGACGAGGTTGTTGGTAGGTCTTTCAATGAAGCTCTTCCGGTTGGAACTGGAGATAGATTGGCACATGGTTTGAATGTGATTACAGACTGACATCAATATTCCAGTAGCAGCACCCATCGCGGAAATCAAGAAACCTCGTGGTCGGCCTCGCAAATCGGCCACCCCAGCCGTTAGTGCCACGGCGTCTTCCGTACCGACCCCGGCGACATATACATCTGGTAGTGAGTATGCTACGCCGCTTACCAGTCATGCTGCGACCCCGACGCCGTCTCTACTCAAGGAGAACGTACGGTCCACCAGATCGACTCAGTCCGCGCCTAAGATTGAGGTTGCTATACCTGTTCTCAAGGCTTCACATACCATGCAAACAACGCGTCGCAGTAGTACCTCTGCTACAGCTAGCAAGCGGAAGAGAAACATGGTGGCAGACAGCCAGGAAGATGACTCAGATGATGGTCACGATGCAAAACTTGCGCGGATGCTTCAGGACGAGGAAGACGCAAAGGTAGCATCATCATCTAAGACACCCTCTTTCGGAGTTGATCATTTGGGCAGTACCCCGCGTAGCATGCGGTCTTCTCATCGGGGGAACATCAATGTCTCGAGCAGCAAGACCAAGAAGGAGGTCATTGCGGACAGCGAGGATGATGGTTTTGACGATTCCCCTGATGCTACACTTGCCCGGAAACTTCAGGCTGAGGAATACGGAGAGGAAGATTCCGAAGAGGAAGCGGCCACATCCAATGTTAGGGCACTTGGACTTCGTCGCAGCTCAAGAAGGCTCAACTCGTCTCCAGTCCGGGCGTCATCCAAAGCCACTGGCAAATCTACCGCCGTTGCAAAAGGAAAACAGTCTGCACCTACACGGAACTCCACTAGGCGTGGTGTTGCACAGTCTTCGACTCAAGTTCTTGGCTTTAGGACAGCTAAAGACTTGATTGCCGATTCCCAGGATGACGATGATGATTTTGATTCTCTGTCGGCCTTTGAATCTGATGATAATGATAGCGATATCAGCGCCCAGGGAGGTCGCCCTTCCGCGGCCCAGAAGGGTAAAGGAAAGGCGATCGCGCCCCCGCCAGAGTCGGAGGACGAGAACTATAGCGACTATAGCGAAAATCTTGCCCGTTTCCTCAGCAAGCGCTTTCGTAAGGGTCGCCCTTCAGCTGCCCAGAAGGGAAAAGGAAAGGCGGTCGCGCCCCCGCCAGAGTTGGAGGACGAGAACGATAGCGACGATTCTGTCCTATCGCTTCCAGACGAGGCAGACGAAATGTCGGTTCTAGGTACTGGCAGTTACGTGTCCATTGACGAGGACCCTGATTTCCTTTTGCCCCCCAACTTGCAGGCTTCGGTTCATGGTAGCGACGACGACGAAGACGCCACTTTGGGTGCCCATATTGCTGAAGCGGGGGAGGGTCTTGATCGTATCAGGGCACAAATGAACAACCGGCGTGCATACCGATCGTACCGGAGCAATAGGCGCGTTAAGAAAGACCGACTCCGTCTCGAGAAGCAACACCCCGAACTCACGACGATGTGGAAAGACCTGGAGAACATGCCCGTTTTGAAGGCTGGTAGGGCTGAACAGCCAAAGTCCATTTCACGACAGCTGAAGCCTTTCCAGCTTGAAGGGTTGGCCTGGATGACAGCAATGGAAAAGACAGAGTGGAAAGGAGGACTTCTCGGCGACGAGATGGGCCTGGTACGTCATGGATTCCTCCTTGATTTCAGTTTAGTTTCTGTGTGCTAATTGCTTCTTGTCACATCATAGGGCAAAACAATTCAGGCAGTGTCCCTGATCATGTCAGATTATCCCGCTAAGAAGCCTTCACTCGTTCTTGTGCCTCCTGTGGCCTTGATGCAGTGGATGACGGAGATTGAGTCATACACTGACGGTACACTGAAGACACTGGTCGTTCACGGTACCAACTCCAAGTCCAAGAACCTCACTGTTAAGAACATCAAGAGCTATGATGTAATTATCATGTCTTACAACAGTTTGGAGTCCATGTACCGGAAGCAGGAGAAAGGCTTCAAGCGTAAGGAGGGGCTCTACAAGGAGAAATCCGTCGTCCACCAGACCGAGTGGCATAGAGTAATTTTGGACGAAGCACATAGGTGAGTCCTGAATCGTCGAATACTGACTATCGAATAACGGCTTACATATCATACCACAGCATCAAGAGCCGAACGACGATGACGGCCAAGGCATGCTTCGCTCTCAAGGTTACATATCGCTGGTGCCTCAGCGGTACGCCATTACAAAACCGCATTGGAGAGTTCTTCTCTCTGATCCGCTTCCTCAATATCCGGCCATTCGCATGCTATCTGTGCAGGGGATGCCCTTGCAAGACCCTTGAATGGGGCATGGACGATGACAACAGGTGCAAGCACTGCAACCACAGCGCCATGCAACACGTCTCAGTGTTCAACCAAGAGCTCCTCAACCCCATTCAGAAATTTGGAAACCGAGGTGAGGGTGCTTTGGCCTTTAAGAAGCTTCGGATCCTTACGGACCGCATCATGCTACGGAGACTGAAGAAGGACCACACCAACGCAATGGAACTTCCAGTCAAGGAGATCAACGTTGAGCGTCAGTTCTTCGGCGAGGTAGAGAACGATTTTGCAAACAGCATTATGACCAGCGGCCAGCGAAAGTTCGACACATACGTGGCCACTGGTGTACTTCTGAACAACTACGCCAACATTTTTGGACTCATTATGCAGATGCGACAGGTTGCCGACCATCCGGATCTGATTCTGAAGAAGAATGGCGAAGGTGGTCAAAACGTGCTCGTGTGCTGCATCTGTGATGAGCCTGCCGAAGATGCCATTCGCTCCCGTTGCAAGCACGACTTCTGCCGTGTTTGCGTCAAGACGTATGTGCATTCGGCTACGGACCCGAACTGCCCTTCTTGCCACATTCCTCTATCCATCGACCTGGAGCAGCCAGAGCTCGAGCAGGACGAGGCGCAGGTCAAGAAGTCATCCATTATCAACCGGATCAAGATGGAGAATTGGACTTCGTCATCCAAAATAGAATTGTTGGTACACGAACTCCACAAGCTCCGATCCGATAACGCCTCGCATAAGTCCATCATCTTCTCCCAGTTCACCACCATGCTTCAGCTCATTGAGTGGCGTTTGCGCCGCGCTGGTATAACTACGGTCATGCTTGACGGTAGCATGACTCCAGCCCAACGCCAGGCTTCGATCAACCACTTCATGACGAACGTGGACGTCGAGTGCTTCTTGGTGTCCCTCAAAGCAGGAGGTGTCGCTCTGAACCTCACTGAGGCTTCGAGGGTTTTCATTGTAGACCCTTGGTGGAACCCAGCCGCGTATGTTTACCCTTATGGCGTTACTTGAAAGACGTTCTGACTAACTTGCTCGCAGTGAATGGCAATCCGCCGACAGATGTCACCGTATTGGTCAGAGCCGACCTTGTATGATCACCCGACTTTGCATCGAAGACTCAGTCGAGAGTCGTATGGTCCTTCTGCAAGAGAAGAAGACCAATATGATCAACTCGACCATTAACGCTGATGATGCGGCGATGGATTCGCTGAGCCCTGAGGATTTGCAGTTTTTGTTCAGAGGAAACTGAGCATTACAATTCTCAGCATAACGCGATGCATCTTTGGGTTGCTCACAATTGCGCCTATATGTCTTTCTATTTGTCAAGCGGTACTCATCCTTACACCCTCTTTATGGGCTCCTAGTCGAAAGACGTGTAGTTTTCATTTTCAAGGCAACTAGAGGAGCCAAGATAGCTTGGCCTTACTGGCAGCCGAGCCATTGGGACAATATTTTCCTTGCTTCTTCAGGGGTGGCAACTCTTCACATGTCACTGACGGGACTGGACATCTGTTTGAGCTGGCGAGGACAGTGTCAGGTTCAGAGGTATATATGGTTCAACTTGTCTGCTTGGAGCATGGGAATTATTAGCGATATATCAAAGGATGCAAGCAAATGTCATAGAATTCAAGATAACAAAATAAATTAAGAAACTCGTTCAAAAGGTCAAGGATATGATATCTGTGGTGAAGAATTGATTCTACAGAAAAGACCAACTTATGCCAGGTGTGACATTGATAACAGGTGATACAGACGACACGAGAGCAACAAGGTTTGTCAACTGACCTAGTAAGTCCCGTACTAAAACTGACCAGACAATCTCTGTGCTCAATCCATGTCCTGTAGCCATCATTGAATGACTTCTTTGGAGCCTGTTGTTTTGTCCCCCTTTTCTCAGAGTATCTTGCACAGTCATTCGAGTATAACTTGTTTGAACATGCAGGAAGTCACCTGAGGTGTATGGCAGTCTTTAGGTAATGACGGAGTTCAGACATAGAATTGGAGTTTCCGGTTTTCGGACATGAGTATTTTTCTTTAACCGATTTGCTATCTTCTACCACGTCCCTCGGTCTTGTACACAATAACGTTATTGCTCACTTGCTGGTCTCTCTTCTTTCTTTCCTTTCCTTTTTCTTCTTTTCTTCAAATCCTCTTTCCTAGTGTTATTTCTCACTCACTCTTTTACCCCTTGAATGCAATCTTGTGCTTTTCCCGCACGCTTTTGTCAACGCTGTTTCTCGCTTTCGTATCTTTTTCTTTCCTTTTTTTCTTTCTTTTTTCTCATGTTTTCTTATTCCCCCGTTTTTTTTCCAATGTTTTTCTCCTGTTGGATACGGATTCTAACTATTCATTTTTCCGACACCGAGACTTTTAATTCGCCACCTCCATCAGTCCGTCTACACTAAATGGTCGATTGCAAAAAGCTACCCGACTCGCACTAGACCAATCAATGACTTCTCATCTCTCTCTGTGTTTCCCTTCAATGTTACAGGCGCCTTCTACCAACTACGCAGCATACCTACTTATACATAACTGTGGTCACAAACCATCTATCTCAAGTTCACTGGAGAATATATTTCTAGTACCGCCTGAAATAATTGCGTTTATGTTACATGTAACTTGCATAGCATCTTCGCTCCTTTTTCCTCGAATTGCCAACTTCAAACGTACCTAATGTGCCCATGGCTATTGATCGGGAGAGACACGTGCACTCGTCATTCGCTCGCTGCTCGCATATTTCTCGGTGACTAGGTAGGTAGTGTACACCACAGAGTAACACCGTATTCCCAGTCTCTCTCTCTCTCTCTCGGTGCGGCGGAAATGCTCCGCAATATATTTGCCTTCCCACGGGGGCATGTCCCGGGAAGCGGAGAGCGGAATTTATCGGATTGATGGGAGATGATGAGGGCACCACCTATATGGAGAACTCTCCGCCATCCTTTCCCCTCCGCGATGCCGCCGCCCAAGCATCCATCCCCATCGCTCGATGAAGTCTAAGGAAACATTATGGAAATTGGAAACATCAACGAGCTCCACCATGAACTGCCAAGGCTACTTACACTGCGTTTTTCGGGTTGTTGGTCATGCGTTTCGGACATGAAGATGGCATGCTATGGAAGTGCTAAATACGGACCACCTTGTCATTGATATAAATACATTCATGTAATTCATGTAGATGATCAAAGTAAGAAATTGGCATCTGCAAACCATGGGTGATTGCTTTTATTGATTTGATGATGATTGAGACGTAGTCAATCAAAGGGGGTCTCTGAATTGTAATTGTAAGAAAATAGCTCGACAACCAATAAATTGGCAAAAAGAATGATGACGACGTGTTGACGATATGAGGTTGATGTCAGTATATCGTCAAAAGATTCGCATGTGAAGTTTACGTATGGTCGAGAAGCAAGATATACGATATAATTTGCGGAGAGGTAAACCGAAAAGTATCTGGTATCGTCCAAATCGTATAATGAGATATTGACGACAGTCAGCCTCATTGGCCTCTGCCATATGCGTGTCCGGTTTGCATGTACTCGGAGGTTTGTGAAAAGGGAAAATGAATTACAGGCAAGACCCGAACAAGTCCCATTATGGCAAAACACACACATGTGTTCTGAAAAATCTGGAGCCATGACTCGGGAGCCCGGGGGAAGGGATCAGCCAACGCTGGGAAGAAACAAGGTGTTTGGTATGGTTGAGATATGCTTAGTTTGTGGAAACGGTCCCGATCATCGTAAGGTGGTTCGAGTCATGTCTTGTCTTGGCTTTCTTACCCATCCCACATCACATCACGAGCACATGCTTGGAGGTCGAGTGTGGGGCTGCGGAGCAACGACACTCGTCAAGAGCCTCAAACCCCGGACAAGCCAACCATGACAACCAAACCCCCAATCAAGACCCTGCCACAGCCTCCCCCAAACTCCTTGCCCCTGGGTTAGTGAATGCTACCATTCTTCACCAAATTGTCGGTATCTCATGGTATCGGTTGAATCTGAGCGCCGAAATCGTAATCATGTGCAGCCAAAGTGCTCCAGGGATTAGTTTGTTTGGCTTGCTCGGAAGCGGTGGACCTCCGCCAAGCAGGTCATAGCAAGGAGTTGACCGGGTACGGCCGGGGCTTCCAGGCCTTCAACCAACAATCAATGGATAGTTCCCGTTGGTCCAGAGACCTGGGGATCTGGCTGCCAGCTTACCGAGATCGCATCACGGCAATCATATGTCAATAAAGAGATAGATGGTGCCAAGACGACATTGCCAGGACAGGAGCTGAGAGGAGATCCAGACATGCCAAGGAGAGCTACCCCAGATACGGTTTACTACCCTGCGGCTGACTCGAGCAAGACGTAGTCGGTGATTGGGTGACTCGAGACCATTCCCCCCATCAAGTAGACGGCCACCACAAGGAACTTGCTGCTACTGCGTAAATCGTGGGGAAGGTTTCAAAATCGTTGGAGGCGTTCAAAGTGCAGAGAGGCGGAAAGATGTTGATGCGTTTGAGTGTTGGTCAACCTTCATACAGATCAGGGTAACGGCGATGGATTATGTGATAGAAAAGAACACAATTCCGAGATAGTAGCTACATTGGGCAACAGTTCGCAAGATATCTGAGTGAAATCAGTAAGAGCATAGGGAACGTTGAGCACTTGACAATAGTTGCTGGACTCGAACGAGCATTTGCATTGGTGGGCCGTTAGAAGATGAGCCAAAGGTTTTGCAGGCTCGAGCTCGTTCGAAGGCCATTGTAGAAGCTCCCGCGGCTTGTCAACATCAGCCATCGTGTTGCAGCTTGTCATCTCATCATATGATTGCTATGGAACAATGGTTGATTGATGAAAGCAGTCACTGATGTATTGGCGCCACATCTGGGTGGCGGACCCAGCAAAAGCTCGAGGTACACCAGATCGGATCGTCCCATGTCATGCATGTGACAAGGAAAAACATGGGACGATCAGGATGTTGGGGATGGCGGTTCAGTTGGCCGCTCAATGTTTGTCTCCGGCAGTCTATGCTCTTGGTTAACTGAAAAGAGTTGAGTTCGAAGGAGGGCGTGATTGTTGAAACAAATGGTGGCAGGGAAAGAAGGGATAAGCGTGATGCATTCAGGTTCCGGACAGCTGAAGGGATTCGCGGACTTGGGGATCGCTCACCTTCTTTCCCCTTTTGGCTTTTATTTTTTCAACTCCAATGCCTTCTTTTCCGATGGCCAAGGTTTCTAGAAGGCCGGACTTTAGCATCTCGTCACCCTCCCTGTTCAATTGTCTCAGCGCCCTAAAAAAGGAAAAAAAAAAGGAAAAAAAAGCCCTGCAACAATTTCGGGTGAAGTCGGAACAGGGATCCATGTCTTTCGTCGTATTTTTGGCTTTTGTCAATTCGATGCGTGTCACCCTGGGTGGATGTGAGTTTTGGCCAGCCTGATTGTTTCCCCTGGTCAGCCCCTGAACGCCCAGGGTTCGTCGAAGCGAGAGACGCTCCCGCTGGTGCTTCGGGTGCTTCGTGAGGGGATCCACATTCACCGACACGGCATGACCGCAACCCTCCAGCCTAAACCGGTCCGGCACGTCTGGATGACGGTGACCGTAGGCACTAGCACCCAGCGGACAGTAAGATAACGATCTGATCATGTTTCCTGATTCTGACGCGCAGGTCACGATACTTTTGGCGCGACAGAGAGGCAAAATGGATGGGAGTTATCACCAACCTCACCATATCGCAGTATGCTATGGGCCCAGACCGGAGCTAACGGTACGATTCTGTCGCCCAAGTTAATGACAAACAAGGGTTTGAAGATTGAAGCGATGTTGACGGAGAACACGAACATACGTGTTTATGGGCTATCCATGGGGGCGCAATTCCTATCCAATCTATTCTGTTACCGCTATACATACGACCTGTGGGAATCCGCATCCAGACCACAAGAGTGGAAAGCTGTAGTGCGACGGATATGTCAGCATCTGGACGAAAAGATCGTGGTGCGACAGTAGGGAGTGGTACAACCCTTCGCATTCAGCACTCCAGCCCTGAGCTGGCACCCACTAAAATGTTGCGGTCCACAGTTTTCAGTGTCTCATGATTCCTTCGCGGATTTTGCGACCCCTTTTAGCCGTAATTGCGCCGTGATGACTTCAAGGGCTTCCGCCCAAAAAAGTGGATGGATTGCGGACAACTTGCCAATCGTAGGCGTTACAATTGCAGAGCGGAAAGTTGGATAAACGGTTTGTTGGGAGCTTGATGGAAAAAGTTACGAAACCATTCCGAGAAACCGACGGGAGTTGGAAGCAAACTGAACAAAATCGGAGGTGGAATTCGACGTCCCGGTGTTTTCATCCCCGATGTTACTGTGTTACACATTTGCAACCAAGCGGGAAGGGCCCGCTAGCCCGATTAAGAAGCTGCTGAATGTAATTGGAGAAGCTGATTGGACAGCGGGGTGATCACCCTGCAGCCCCTGGGCTGTATCGAAAAGAGGTTTGACGGATTCGAAATCCACTTCTCCACAAACTGGTGCCTTGAAGTCGACGGTTGCTGCTGCCCATCGCATGGAACAAAAGCACTGCGTGACTCTCAAAAACTTTCCGGTCACAAAGCTGCGGAAGAAGTAGAGGTACACAGTAGACGAGTGGAAAGGGAACTGGGCTGGAAGGAATCAGCGCTGTATGTCAGATCTGAGTAAGTCTAGGTAGGTAGAGTTCAGGACACACAACTGAATACTCGGACGTCCGATCCATTATGCCTTGTTCATTCTTTAGTATTCAAATTAGGCTGGGTGTTACCATATCCAAGTTGAGGACAAATGCCACTATAGAAGAACTCTCACCGTGCAATGTCTATTGCAGTTCTCACATCAGCTGCGGGGGCCTTGAAGATTCGACACTCATGCAAAGCTCAAAATGTCTGAATGGTGGAAAAGTGGAATCCTACTGCGTAAGCAGCGGGAAACTGTGATGGATTCTACGGAGTCGCTAGCCGCTAAGCGGTGGAGTAGCGGTGGGGACTTCGGGTCTAACAAGCGGCATCGCACGCGGACGGCACCTGCATTTCCAGCGTGACAGGAAGGATTTACAGCCCAGAGGCTGTGACGTGCCCCAAAGTCCACTGTCCATACGTAACTCAACCACATTCTGACTCCTTTTGCACTCTGAACTCGAAATACACGACGCCGGCCACACCCCGAACCATTGCCGGACGTGGGGATTGCCCGTTTTTTTTGCCTTGAAGAGAATTTCAGTGGAACACTACTGAGGAGCACACGACCTCTTCCCAAAAATGACTGTTCTAAAAAGATGACGAGACGGGACGCAGAGGTGAAAGACCGGTGCGATACCGGAAGGGAGAGCCCGTCGACAGATGGAACGGGAAAGAGCATCCTCCACGTAAAACCGCCTGCCCTTGCAGCCTTTCAGTCGTTTCCTCCATCTCCTCGATCTTGCCCTCACTTGCTTCGCGTCGTATGAGCCTGCCTTACCTTTCCTCACTATTCTTGGTGTTGATCAATCATCATCATATCATTTTGGTGGCCGGGATCTGCCGTTCCTGTTACCTCCAGTTTGTGTGTAGAAGCAAGGTACATAGACGCTATTCGTACCTAGAGCTGCTACCGTAACAACAACATCATTGTACCGACCGATTCGCGGATATCGTTTTCAGCATTTGTTGTCGATTTCCCACGTTCCGGTACAACACTTTCCCGAAGGCATTCAAAGCCGCATATTCGTCGCAGCAATAAGCGGTCACACTGAGCAAACCCAACCGGGTGTATTCGGGTGTCTCCAACGGCTGGACCACGCGTGTGTGCAAGGTGTGTTACACTCCCCTAGGTATGTTTTCTTTCTTTTCCTCTTTAGGGCATGCCCAGCCGGCCAGGCCAGATCCAACCCACACACCATCCGGACCCTCCCCCAACCGTTCATGGAAGCGTCAAGGCGCCGGCCGTGTGTAATGGAATCCACAGCCGGCGGCAGAATTCGGAGAAGACTCCCCTCGCCAGAGGCAAGGACACAGACACACACTCAGACACCCTTCTCCATGATGGCCAGGCGGCCCTTGAAACAGCCATACCCCGGCTCCCGAAACCCGCCAGACAGGCGTCTGTCACGACAAAGCAACACCCCAAGCACTTGAGAACCTCCTGGCCGTTTTCACCAGATATGCTACATACTCGGCAGCTAACAGCGGCCCTCTTGATGCCCAACTAGAGAGAGCAGAAGGTAGCAGGAATCAGGTGAAAGCAACAAAAAAAGACATAGCGTTCCATCTCAATTTCGCGTCGCATGGGTAAAAACAGACTCCCCGTTTCGCCCTGGACGGTGCTCATGTCCGGCGCAACCGCTCCTCGACTGCAAAAGGTATTAAGTCGGCCGGTCCTCTCGAGTAAACCGGATGCTGGAAGAACTTCTTCTCATCATCTATCCTCTTTGGCTTTGACACAGAGTCTGTTGCTTGCTTCACGGTTCGCTGCTTCTACACTCGTCGCTACTACTTCTTCTGCTGGTGCATCTACAAGTACCGGTACCTCCAGTCCAGACCCCGGCCCTACCATTAATAAGTCGCAGACCAATCGCAACCCCTCGACTTACACCTCACCTCCAAATTCCCTTTCCAGAACGTTTAGTGCGAGTAACCTGCTAGGCTGGTATCGGACCCTCCCCAGCCCTTACTTTAACCTCTCCGGCCACCTCGACGATTTGTCTTCTTTAATCCGCCCTTTCCTGGCTTTTCTGGACCCGTCTTCGCTTTCCTCCCCATACTCAATGGCTTCCACTTCGTACGCTTTCAGCACTTCTTCAGGCTCCGATTTCTCGACCCCGCGGTCCAGCTCCCCTCACTCGTCTGCATCAGTTGCGTCCGCACGCTCCTCCCACTCGTCCACCTTCAGTGCAGGAAAGCGCTTGTCCATGTCTTCGGTTCGGCGCACCTCGGCTTCGAATCCGATGTCTTCCGTTGATCTATCAACCATTGAAGAGGCTCTGAAGATGGCCAACCTCGACACACTGAAAGGCTACTGCCAAAAAACGTACGGCGAGGTCCACCAGGAGACCACTACCGAGTATATTTCCCAGGAAGAGGCCCGGGGTTACCAGGTGCTCAACCAACCCCACTGGAACAAGGGTAAGCTTACTGGTCTTTTTTTTTTCTTTTTTTCTTTTTTTTTTTTTTGTTGTTGTTCGTTTGTTTGTTTATTTTCTTCCACTTCCTTCGTTTTCCTCCACGTCCCACGCTGCTTCTCCTGTCCCTGTCTCTTATCACTGCAGCACCCGAGCTTGGTTGTCCACGGCTTCCTTGAGTCAGTCTGGCCATGCTCGCATCATCAGTCTCTGCTGTCCGTCAAGGTGCTATCATGCCTTGGTCTGCCAGACTTCTGCATGCACGCCAGACTTGCTTATATTCACGTTTTCTCCCATCTTCTTTTCCCCGACCCCGTCTTTCTTCGACTTCATCTGTTTCTGGCTCAACAGTTTCTGTATCTCCGTCTGTGTCACATTCGCCAGAACCGTCCTCGTCACCCCTCGTACACAACATGGCCGCAGTTGCTGATTTTCGCATTTCACCCAAAGGGACGTCATTCACTCCTGAAGAGCGTGTGGCCAAGAACTTGACCGGACTTATTCCGCACGTCATGGAGGACTCCGAGAAGCAGGTTGAGCGTGCGCTCAAGATGATCCGCACCCGTCAAACCGACATTGACAGGTATCTCTACCTGTCGACCATCAAGAGCCAAAACGTCGACCTCTTCTACCGCCTCCTGATGGATCATGCCAAGGAGATGATGCCATTGGTCTACACTCCCACCATTGGCGACGTTTGCCTCCAGTACTCGACCCTCTACACTCGGCCAGAAGCGCTGTACATTTCGATCAAACAAAGGAAGTCGATCCGTACAATCTTGAGGAATTGGCCCTATCCTCAGCCCGAGATTTGTGTCGTCACTGACGGTTCCCGCATTCTCGGTTTGGGAGACCTAGGTGTCAATGGTGTTGGCATTCCGGTAAGTGTTTTTTTTTTCGGCAATTACTCAATTGCATACGCTGGCAAGACACTAACATGTACCAGATCGGTAAGCTAGCTTTGTACACGGCTGCTGCTGGTATTCACCCGGACAAGACGCTCCCTATCGTCCTCGACTGCGGTACCGCCAACGAGACCAACCTGAAGGACCCCCTCTACTTGGGCCTTCGTCAGAAGCGTATCCCGGTTGCCGAGCAACAGGAGTTCATGGACGAGTTCATGGAGGCTGCCGCTGAAGTCTTCCCGGACATGGTTGTGCAGTTTGAGGACTTTGAAAGTGAAAAGGCTTTCAACTACCTCGATCGGTACCGCGATCAGTACAAGTGCTTCAACGATGATATCCAGGGAACTGGAGCTGTTGTCCTCGCCGGGTAAGTTGGAAAACCCCTCCAGCCCTGCAGAAGATGAAGTTACTTGAATGGGAAATCCCACGTTTCAAAAAGTGACTTGTGAGCGTGAGACAAATTGCTGACAGTACGTTGTACAATATAGTTACATTGGTGCCGTCAACCTTTCAAATGTTCCTATCGAGGAGCAACGTCTTGTCTTTATGGGAGCTGGCTCCGCCGGTGTTGGCGTTGCCAAGCAACTGGTCGAGTACTATACCAAGCGTGGCCTCTCGGAGCAACAAGCTAAGGACAAGTTCTGGCTTGTTGATACCAAGGGCCTCGTGACCAAGGATCGCGGTGATAAGCTGGCCGAACACAAAAAGTACTTCGCCCGTACCGACAACAACGGCCATCAGTTCCGCACCCTCGAGGAGGTTATCGAGTACGTCAAGCCCAGTGCGCTTGTCGGTCTTACCGCCACTCATGGCGTCTTTACCGAGTCGGTCGTCCGCGCCCTCAAGGCTTCCGTCGACGCCGGAGGACTTGGCCGCAGGCCCATCCTCTTCCCCCTCAGCAACCCTCTCACCAAGGCTGAATGTACGTTCAAGGAGGCCATTGACTGGACTGAAGGAACCGTGCTCTTTGCTTCCGGTTCTCCCTTCTCCAGCTACACTACGAACGGTGTAACATATCACCCTAACCAGGGTAACAACGTCTACGTCTTCCCCGGTATTGGTCTTGGTGCCATCCTCGCCAAGGCTAGCAGAGTCACCGATGACATGATCTACACCTCGGCCGCTGCCCTGGCTAACTCCCTCAATGCCGATGAGGTCAAGCAAGGCCTTATCTACCCCCGCATTGACCGTGTCCGTGAGGCTAGCGTCATTGTTGCGCGTGAGGTGATGAAGTCTGCCCGCCGTGAAGGCGTCAGCGCCCTACCGGAAGAGCAGTGGCTTGAGTGGGAGGAGTGGGGTGATGTTGACCTCGAGAGGTACATCAAGCAGCACATCTACGACCCCAAGTTTTAGAAGGTCTCATAGATACGTCCAAACGGGTGTTCACAAAATGGATAGAAAGATAGATGGGTAGATGGGATGGGTGGATATGGCAAGAGTTGGGTTGGAGTTTATCATTTTGGCGTTTGGAACCTGATTTATTTTATCCTAGTGATTGCCAGACTCACAGGATGATTGCTTTACTGTTGAAGAGTTGGAATGGCAAATAAGCGGGATCCATTACTACCATTAATAAAGATCCCTTTCCAGTCAAGAAAGGATTGGATGGATCTTGAGCGTTTCGGTACTTACTTCTAAAAGACCATGTTGGATGCACATACCCCATGGGACAGCGAGAGATGCCCATGTTCTAACATGGGTCACTCGGCATTAGATGCACACTGCTAGAGTCAAAAGAGGTTGATTTGGCGTTACCATGGAACAAGAAAAACACGCTTATAGCGGGTTTAGATCACTGAAGGGAACAGGTAACATTGCGAAGGATTCATTGTACATTTTCGAAAGATCTTCTTTGATTATCATCAGCTTAAACTCACTTTGGTGATCCCCTCGCTCTCTGACCGGACAGTGATCCAGAAACAAGATTTCGTACCGAATAAACTCGCGACGACCGAATTCCAAGTTGCAGGGTTGAAGGTGTCCGACTGCCCACATTACTCGCTTTTGACGGCTGTTAGATGCAAATGGCACATCTTTTATTATCAACTCTGCATATCTGACATCCGTAGTCGCGAGTCGATTCGGCAAGATTACAGACACTGGCCCCGCGAAGAACCCGAGATATCCTTCTGCATCCTGTAGAGGTATATAATCACTTGTGCCGTAACTGGATTTCCACATTGCGTTTGTCACTATCTACGGCTGCCTTTTTCTTCCCGTCCTCGGTGTCGGCGTCGGGCTCATGACGCACCGTTATTTTTGGTTTACCTTCCTCGTGTCAGTCCTTTTGGGTACCCAGTGCAGGCGGAGAGATAGCGAACTCTTAAAGCCGAGAATGCTATACAGACATGCTCCTCGTGGATGGACAGGTAGATAGGGCGGTTAAGATTTCTTATTTTGTTACCATAACTAAGATCTTACCTCCCTCTGTAATGATTTAGACAGAGACTGAGAAATTTAGATGATAGATATGTATCTTGGTGTACCTCGCGCACTGTCTGGACTACCAACTCGAATAAAAAACACCATCTCAATCATCATCTTGACCGCGGACTAAACCCTGGGTATATATCACTCCGACACTCCAATTCCTGCAATTCCATCTCCTCCTCTTTGATTTGGAGCTTCACCGCCTCTTCACATTCTATTCCTTCCCTCAGCCGCCTCCCCAGCTAAGAACCCTCTCGTTACCGGATTCTCCACCAACAACCTCTCCGCCTCCTCATTATTATTACCAACTCCGCCGCCACCAGTTTCAGTAGTTGTTGATGTCCGTCCAGCAGACTTGACACCCCCAAACAAACACGTCCACAAATCATTCTGATCCACTGCCTCGCCCACCACCCCATCCGATCCTTTACCCATCAGTTTACTCAGATGCGCCTGTTGCATCTCCTGCGCGTTGGCCGCGTCAAGACTTATGTCTTCGAGTGTCTCGGACTCCTTTTCTTTGTCCTTTGCCTCCCCCCTTGTTTTCGTGTTTGTTGAAGAAGAAGAAGAAGAAGAAGAATCAGCAGTACCACCAACAGTAGCACGCCTCTCCATATGCTCCAACCGCCTCTTCACACTCAACTCATAGACATTCTGCTCCACCGTCCCGTCCACGATATACAACCACACCGTCGTCTCCTGCTTCTGACCAATCCTGTCAACTCTCGCAATAGCCTGCAACTCCAGCGCCGTGTTAAGCAGCGGTTCGCAGAGGAACACATGGCTGGCGTTGACCAGGTTCAGCCCACTCGCGTGGGCACGTGCGTGCAGCAAAAAGACTTCGATGGAGGGGTCTTCACGGAAGGAGGCGACGCTGGACACAGCACTGCGGTAGAATGAGGAGTAGCCGATGTGGTAGCGTTCAAAGGCCTGAGCTAACACGTAGAGGAAGTCCTGGTATTGCGAAAAGACAATGGACTTGGCGCCGGGGTCGGATTGGCGCAGCCAGAGGAGGTGGCGGATTAGGGTGTCGACTTTGGTGGTGTAGTGCGGGCCGTTTTCGAGGTCGATGTTTTGGATCTCGGCGAGTTTGGAGGGGTTGAATTCGGTGTATATGGATGTGTGCTTTTTGGACTTGGACGGTGACGTTGGTTGCTGGTCGCGAGGGGCTAGCTGCTTGTTGGAGTCGCGGGTGTTGTGGCCTTCCGAATGGACTTTGAGTTCTTGAGGTTTGTATGTGATGTTGTGCAGGTTAGAGCGATGAAGGGGTCGCTTGCACACCGGGCAGTTGTGGTGAGCTGTGAACCACATTGTGATGCACTCTTTGCAAAACTGGTGGCCGCAGACTGTCAAGACGCCGATGGAGAATGGTGACTGGCAGATGACACACATTCGCTCCTCGTCGGAGGAAGCATCGGCTTGTTTAAGATGAAGCACTGTAATAGGGTGTCAGTACATCATGTTACACCATAGAACATGAAATCACAGCACAAGTGTCTCGCAATAGGCGTAACTTACGGTAACGATGCTTCGACTCCGCTGTGGCCACTTTCGTCTTCAACCTTTCTTCCTCGTCGATAGCCCTCTGTAGGGCTTGTTCGTTCGTGGCCCCCGTGTACTCTTCTACCGAGTCTGAAACTTGTTGGAGTTGCCGGTAGAAATCAAGACGTGCGTTCAAGATGTCAGTGAAGTTCTCCACCTCTTGTTCCATGGCTGTCGCTGCTTTGCCTTGGTCCGTATGCTGAGCCTGGGTTGACTTTAACAATCTCTCTGCCAAAGCAAGCTCAAGCCTTGCTCTTTTGCTCCCACTCGCTTCCTGATGTCGCAAATCCGTCATCACGGCTCGAAGTTTCGAGATAATGCCTCTCAGGGATGTATGACCATCGCCTTCCTTGAACTTCGGCTTGACACTTTCGCGAAGGGCAAAGAGCTCGAGGATCCGCTTGGCCGATTCGGGCGGCTCGTGGCCTGCTTCCACTTCCATATCATCGCGTGCCATTTTAAGCACCACCCCAACTTCGTGTTCGACCAGGCCGTTTTGTTGCCCAGATATCACGGCTTGTCGGTCGGCGATAGCGGCCTTCAAAACCTGTACATATGCCAGAATCTCATCCTGAAGCTTTGTTGATTCCTCGTATTCTTGGCCTGTGGCTTCAACATCGGTATTGTCCTCATCCACCAACGGCTTGAGCAGAAGTTGGATGACATGCTCTCTCCATTCGTCGAGCTTGTCGGCCTGCCGGTCAAGGGCCTCGTATATACCCTCGAGAGCGATGATGATGTTACTACATTCGACGCCGCTTTCTTCGGGTATATCCACTGCGGGGATGACCGCAAAGTCTTGCTTCTGGCGACATTCATCGAGCTTGTCCATCAGCTTCCTCGCCTTGCCGTAACTCTAAACTGTCTGTTAGTACACGTCGCACAAAAGATAGGAATGTGAATGTACCTCTTGCAGGATTTCCTTCCTGATAGCCTTCGCAAGGTCGTAGCCTTCGGATTCCAGTTTGTCCAGCCGCTTGAACTCATCAGAGTCCGGAACAGTCAACTTGTCGTCCGTCTTGCTAGAGTAATATCCGTTTGCGCACAGAAACATGGCCATGTGCAGAACTTCAAGGGCGAATCTCAGTCGCCGACGGGCATCTTTGAGTCCAGCTGAGATGTCCTCGTCATCATCCGATTCGCTATCTTCCTTCGCACCTGACGGTACCACAGGGTCTTTCGCAAGCTCCGCTTCAAGCTGTTTCCGGCACTCCGCTACCATCTCTACACTTTTCGCGCGGACATCCTCCCAAATAGTTAGTGCATCCTGGACGCGGTCCATTCCAGCCAGAATTTGTCCTCTTTTGAGCTGCATGAGCAGGAGACTACGTTGATCACTCCTGATGGCACCATCACTCTGCTCTAGCATTGCATCAAGGACCTCGGCCACTGTTCGCATAGGGCGACCCGACCTTTTGCCTAAGGCCTTGCGGTTTCGATTTCCCACTTCAGGGTGAAGGGTCAATTGCCGCAGCTGATCGAGGGCAGTCCGCATGCCTTGTTGCGTGAAAGGGTCTTCGGGGTCCCAGTCTTCCTGAATTGGATTTCCCTCAACATCCAAGCCGCAGTTGTTGACGAGCTCTCTGAATACGGTCCGGTAATGTTGTTCCTCCACGGCGCTGAAGGGCATCGTGATCACATGTCGTTTCTGGGACGGAATCGATATTTCGCTTCTGACCATACTCTTCGTGTGCCGCATTGTGATGGAGCCGAACAGGCTCTTGAAGCGCGCCTTGTCGGACATTAAGGCTCCCCAGGCCTCTTTATCCGAGGCATACGGCTCAACTCGGAGGAAGTTCAGAAGGCCTCGTAGATCTGGATGCCATCCGTTAGCCATTGTCAAACCAAAGGCGACCTAGCCTTTCAGGTGGAATTTTCACCTTTCTGGATGTCGTCCTTCACCGGAGTGCCAGTGATTGCCCAAGCATGAACGCGGGGAATACGTCTTGCAAGTACGGCAGTGTTGCTGTTCCAGTTTTCCACCATCTGGGCCTCGTCAATGCAGACACGCCACCACCCAAGCTCGACAAGGGGAGATGTCTGGCGCTCGTATTGCTTTTTTCCGCGCATGGATCGTTCAGGATGATCGACGGCTGACCAGATCTCGGTCCGAAGAACTTCATAAGTGGTGATGACCACATCCTGCTGAGCCAATTGCGTGGACGAAAGGTCTACACCCTTCATCTTGGCCGCCTTTTTCAGCCCTGGATAGTAAACCACCTTCAAAGTCGGTGCATGGCGGTTCAATTCGGAAAGCCATTGATCGAGAAGAGGTAAAGGCGTTATTATCAGGGTCGCTCCTGTTGTTTGGAGCTCGCGGCCAAGAAAAGCGTCATATGCCACTGTTGGGCCTGGTGGGCGTTTGTGAAGCACCGTGAGAGCAATCACTTCGACGGTTTTTCCAAGACCTATCAAAAGTCAGTGATTCTGCTTTGAGCCCACAGCAATCAAATCCAGGGGCAAAAGTTACCCATTTCCTCGGCCAAAATACCACCTTTAACCATATCATTAGACGGGAGCTTCGTAATGTCCTTTACCACTATGCCAAATAACGGGCTGATATAAAACGTTTCGCCATCGAGCTTCTTAACCTGGTGGAAAAAGGCAGGGAGAAGAGACGAATCTCCGCTCTCGGAGGGTTGGACCAAAGGCTGGCCATCGGGTTGAGGAAGGCCACTCCATTCGACGCCTTCACGGTGTAGAAGCCACTTGACAGCCCTTCGCTGGAAGGGATAAAGGTCCGTCTCCAGACTGGGGATCCTTGCTGTCGCGAGATGTCCGTCAGAAATATTGGGCGTTGGAGTATGCGCTGCTTCGTAGAAATGCTGTGGAGTCCATGCGATGGTCTCCTGCGCTGACACGAGTAAATTCGGGTAATACGCCATCAGCACCTGAGTTTTCAGCCCCTGCTGAACCTTGGACTGGTACACATCTGTACTAGTGTTCCACATTAGTCTGAGAGTGACATCGATCTTGACAGATGCTCCTTCTTGACGGATGGCGATATCCACAGCTGTCCAAAGATAGCCCGGCGACCCAGGGTCAAATGATTGTGTCTTGGCAACACGGGCCATGAGAGCGAGTTTTGAAGAGATGGTCCTTGTCTTGAGGGCATAGCAGATATGGGCGTTCTTGTTCTTATTTGCGCGACTGCTGTTTTTGCTAGGAGCGAGATGCAAGTACCAGGCGCCACGTTCTGGATCACGGCGGTCGGGTTTGGCATTCACCACCCAAACGTCTACGTAGTCTCCTATGTTTTGCTTGTTGAGACTAAAATCTTTGGGAATAGCCGCAGTATCACGGACAGGAAGGGCGACTGTGTGCTCGTCGATACAAACGGCATCGCTAGGTTTGAACACGCCCCGCGAAAGTTTTGGGCGCTTAGCAGGTCGAACTTCAATGTCCTGTTCGGCATCAGTTGTGGAAACGGCGGGATCAAGTCCAACGGACCGAACATGGTCGACAAATGCGGCTACGTTTTCAGGGTTGGCTTCCCAGTCTGATCGGGGTTGTCGAGACTGCCCTTGGGACTTTTTCTTTGGAGGCATTTTGGCGACAAGTCAAAGAAAAATGATCTCGTCGTGATGAGGTTGACCAACGTTCGTCAACCAAAGCAAGTGGGTGGCAGTGGTCTGGAAATTCCACGGCATGGATGTGCTTCGTTTCTGTGATGAACAGCCCGATGCTGCCGGCATGCTCGAGGTTGGCGATGGAGGATGAACAGCTGTTGGACTGGGACGACGAAAAGGTGTTGATTCTGGTAGTAGGAACAGGGAAGAAGGGAAAAAGCAGGGCAGCCTAAATACCCAGGACGGGAGGGCCCGTGAATGGAAGCACAGTGAATGGGCGCCAAGAGGCACGGCCGTCCAACAGATCCAGATGACCAACCTGTGAGTTGGTGAACCTGAAGATGAAGGTGCATGAAGCAGGAAGAGATGAGTAAGAAGAGGAGTACCTAGAGGTAAGTAATAAGGAGGGAGACAGGAAATTGTTAAGGCAAGAAGAGCTCGGCTGCGCATGGAGGGACAGGCAACGCAGAACCTAAGGAATTACACGCGGGCGTACAAGCTGGAACAGTACCTAGGTACTATTCTAGAATAGTGTACGTAGTGTACTTGTAAGTTTATAGGGCTGCCCTGCTAATAAGGGTCTTGGCATGAACCCACCTAACCGTGCTGTGTACGCAGTAACATAGGTGATGCAGGGACGCCACTTTACCCCGTGGAAAAGAGCGCTTGTCATTGGCTCATAGACGGGCGGGAGCTACCTTGAACCCCACCGGCAGCTTCAGACGCTGGACGTCGGGCGCTCAGACCGGTCAGTGGTCCCGGCTCCAGATTTCGGGCGGGCGAAGCGGGCTGCGGAGGAAAACTTTCCCAAGCGACGGGAGTCCACCGAACCGACTGCCCGCGCGCGACCAGTCAGTCCCGGGGCCGGAATTTGTTAAGGAATCTCCATCCACAATATCTCCCCCCGTCTCTTTCCCCGGCTCCGTGATATGAGCGGACAACCTTGACCGATTGCTGGCGACACCTCTGCAATAGGTACGCACTTTTCCTCATCCCACTTCCCAATCACTGTGGTCTTCCCATGGCCTTTGCGACCTGCGACTTTGCCAGTTTATTATTTGTTTACTTGCCCACTAACACTTTAGACTTGACCCAGCACGGATGAAGTCCTTCCTCCGGATCCAGTCCACCCTTGGACTCCTCTTCCGGCCCTGCGCCGTCTCGGCCCCCGCCACTGCCCCTGGGCTCAACGCACACGCACGATGGGCGCATAAGACTGCCGCCCAGCTGCCCCTCATCCCCAAGCCGACCCCCTTCGTCCCCGACGTCCCTACCTTCCTGACCTTGATCGGTCGCGACCTCAAACAACATGCCGACAAGTTCCCCACGTGGGAGGCCCTCTTCACCCTCACTACCGACCAACTGAGAGAACTCGGCGTCGAGCCCCCAAGGGCAAGACGCTACCTGCTGCGATGGAGGCAACGATTCAGGGAGGGCAAGTTCGGCATCGGTGGCGACCTCAAGCACGTTGAAAACGGTGTCGCTTACCTGAAGATCCATGAGAAGGAAGCAAGCCCTACCAGAACTTCACGAAAGGTCGTCAACGTCCCCGCCAACCAGAACGTCGAGGAGGTTTCTGAAGGCGAACGTGTCAAGGTCAAGGGCTACAAGGTCAAGGGCGTTTCTACAATCGTTGGCCCCTATGCCTTGCCGGTCCAGAAGGGCGTCGCCAAGCTCGCCGTCACTGAGGGCATGTGGGAAGACAAGAGAGGACACAAGGTCGACGGTGGTGAGCGTAGACGCGCCGAGGTGCGCTTCAAGAGAGGTGTGGCGGAGCGCAAGGCCCTAAGGGAGAAGATGGGCTTCTACTAAACAAATCAATCGGGCTATGGTCATGGATGATTGGGTTGGTCGAGCTGCCGTCAGATTTGAACGTTTGCTCGGTTGGCCACAAGCTCTACTCCATTTGTAGCCATGTGTAAAATCTGTATATTAATGGGATTCGGCTTGCCATGTTCCGGGGTCCTGGGCTGTTCTCATCCCCTGGTGACCCATGTCTTGCGACCATCGTCGCTGTAAGAATGGCCAGATATTTATGTGCGGGGATGTTATGGACATGGTTGAAGAGGGCTAGAGCAGTCATGGAAATAGTCCATTGGACTTCCTTCTGTGTAGGTGACCTCTAATCCCATCTTCAAAGTCTTTTACTGACGGGGGTTTAGTACATTGGGGCTTTCCTGGAACAGTCCGGCCTCACTCCGATCCCAAACCATTGGCACTAGGATCCTTTGTCCCGGTTCGTTGTCAACCCAGTGCATCCGTTTGAACGAACAAGCCGTACTCTCCGGATGTAGCCTGTATGCTGTTATGCCCCTTATCTCCGTGATCAGATGCAAACGTTCATGGCTTTCTTCGGTGATAACAGCCAACAGGACCCCCCATTTTTCTTGGCCATTTACCTACTAGAATAGCTTCTCCTAACAACGTCCGCTTTACCACGCACGCCCTTTCACGTTGATGTCTTACCATCAAGTCTACCGTCAGCTTTTATGCGCCATACACCAATAATTTCTAGGCCAGCACCCCCCCTTTGTGATTTTCCGTTACCTGTCATTCCTCTATGGTCTGTTTCAAAGTTTGTCATATCAAACCGGAGTGGTACAACATAAACTGATATCTCAACAAACCACCATCGCTTGGTCAAAAGGCTCCTTCCCAAATCGCACTGCTAATGCTAGATGTATAGACCGCGAAATACCTCTCCTTCTGATATCGTCAAGAGATCCGGATCTCTGTCGCACTTTTCTGTTCAAGCAAGACGGAGCTGTTTTCATTGAGAAGGAGATACCGAGCCATTACTCGGAACTGATTTCACTCACAACCGGCCATTTCAACTCCTCGGTTTACCTCGTCCATTCAATCTCACCTCATCACAGTATCCAAGCCGGGCCCAGCATCATGCAATAATAACTCACCTGGGTGGAAAAAGGACAGCAAAGTTATTTTTGCTTTTTTTATATTCGATTAGAAAAGCAATAACAACATGAGAATGGCGGTCTTGCTCTTTCTTTTTCTTCTTAATTTCGGGGACTCACAAAAGGTTGTTGGTGTGCAATGCGGAGTGGATGTTGGACGGAAGGAATGCATCATACGACGGACTCAGACCATGTCGACGTTTCCAGATTGAGCCATTCCCCAATCAAATATGGACCCCGCCGACACAGATTCATGATCTCTTCGAGTACAACTTTTTTCTGCCTACACCTCGGACGAAAACTTCAACAGATCATTGAGCGCTTGCTGCGGCTATTCCTGGACATTGGCACTCAACAGGCTTGCCATGGATTTTGAGACGGTATCCTTGGCAATCCTGGCAATCATGGGACAACAAGCATCACCCTGAGGCGTTGTCGAGAACTCAAAATAGCTCTTGTTTCATCATCCAAAGCGCCCTCTCTGTGCTGTCCCCGGCAATATCGCCAATGATGGCATTGAGGTCCGATATCATGAACCGGCTTCTCCCTCTCCACCGCTGGTCCTGCCTGCACAACCAGTACGATATGGGAGGTTGATGGTGTCACACAGGGGACTAAATCCAGGAGCTTCTGGTCTGGTTACACAGACACTACCAAGCTTCATTGGCAGCTGTGCCGCAGCTGAAATCGAGACACGCTCGACGCAGCGACGTTCCTTGCCGAATCAAGAGCGAAAAAGTCCATCAGACGCCTTCTTTCACGTAACATACAGAAAAAGCTACTCTCTAGAACACCATGGCAATCTCCCAAGATGCCGAAAATTCGGCCACAACCTACTAGTGAGGTGAAGCTCGAAATCTCTCAAGTCGATGCCATCTCGATTGGTGATGGCGGGGTTGGCGATGACGGTGGCGGCGCCGTTTAAGCTTAAACCTGTGAAGGTTACAGCCGTACCACATCGGGGGAAAGTCCGAACGGTGCCTGCCATCCCATCAAAACAGCTACGTAATAAAAAGTCAGATATAGGTAACTCGATTCGTATTGGGCTTGGCTTGCAGCTAACATCCCATTTCTTTACAGATTTCTATGACTGTCACTCACGCCACGTTCCTAGTGAATGAGTATCCGTCCGCACAGATGGACAGAATTGGAAAGGAAGTGCGCCCCCTTCGGGAAATATGGAGGGCATAGCTTGGCGGAATTTTTTTTCTCTCAAAATTTTCAATTTGCTTTTCTTTAGAAAAGAAAGAGGAGAAAATCCCTGGCTACACTCGCGATGTGCCCAACGGACTACACAGGACTCATGGCCCACAGTTCTGAAGTGCATTCCGTTCGAAGAGGGCGTCTACCATAGACTTAACAGAGACGATACAGAGAGCACTATCCTCCACTTGAAGCCAAGTACTGGATACATCACCCCCACAATTGGTACTACTACCTCATCACACGGCACCCCTGCGTCTCTCTTTTGCTCTGGATCTCGCTTACCCTATTTGGTAACGAGAGGGCCGCTTCACACCACACACTCTTCAGCGCTATTTGGATCCCTGACGGCCACTCTCCTCAAAGCCAAAAACAAGGGCCGAACAACGTTACACACCAAATCCATTGCTGAGTCCAAAGAGTCCTTTTGTCGAAGTTCTGAGCTTCATATCTCGGTTGTTTTTTGTAAACCAAACCCTTGGTCACCGTTGAAGTCTCAGCGCCAACTCCTCCTCTGACCCCCGATCTTCAGTCATGGCAAACTATAATGCTTGGCCGTCAACTTAGTTGCATGACGCGGTGACTATACCCCAATATGGCTATAGTAAATCGCATAGATTGCGGCTGAACTGCATACGCCCTTTGTAAGTTGCATTCTACGTGGAGAGAGAAGACACCGAAAGAGTCAGAAAGGTCACAAACCCACTCAATCATCCTTGATACAACTCTTGCCCAGGGGAATCCCGGTGCTATGGAGGAGCCCTGGTAATGTTGCATACTTTTTCCTCTCAACAGACGGAGACTTACATACACATGCCTTGGGGTCCGCTATTAGTAAATAGCGTTCTACTATGCGCCCCGGCCATTTCCCTTTTCTCCCCCAGTGTTTCCAAGAGGTTATCACCGTGGAAGGTCTATATTCATAGTACAACACAGTTTGGGGAAGCAAGAAGCATGGTTAAGTACTGTGATGACTTTTATATCCGATCATTCACCTTTACTGGGGCAAGCTTAAGTACAGTAGTGTAGTGCCTACGGCTCGGCACGTCTTCCATGTCCTTCCTCCTCACACACACACACGCCAGCGGCGGTACTTCAAATCCTTACCGCCTACCTAGCTCTACAGGGCTCTTCAGATAACTTTGTCTCGTCACATGGCTTGTACTGCATTACCTAGCTCGTCTACGGTAGATCTTGCCTGCATTGTGAAGCGTCAACGCAGGTATGAGCCGATGCTTTTTTGACAGACCAGGGATGTCATCAGGCAGAGGGGTCCTACCTTTGAACTAGACCCTAGGGGACACGGGAAAGTTGGGTACCGGATAGGAATGCAGGTCCAAGATTCCTTACCGAAAGCCAATCATGAAATGTTCCCTAAGTCGGCGAGGGTTTCAACAGACCAAATGGTTCTACTTCTGGGAAGTTGATGGGAATACTACCATGCTACCTCGACCACTCCACGTCGTTTCTAGCCAGACGTGTACGAGAACGAAGGCTTGCTAAAACGACATCAACGCCCCTCATTCAGTGGAGAATAACCTGCCTTGCGATTTCTTGTGACTATCGCTTCCTCTTTACGAACTGACCAACAAACCAAACGCCAAGGCATCACTTGTTCCTACAGCTGATGTTGATTATTGGGCGCTGCCCGACTTATTTTTACATCTTCCTCCTTGTGAGATTGCGTCACAGGACCTAGCCTGTCAGCCTTACCAGCTTCTCTCTCGAGACCTACCCCTTGATCCTCAAAGTCTTCACCTCATCGGTGAATAAGCTTGAAAGACTTTCGACGTATACGAGTGGCGGACCTATATTAGGTATTTTTAAACATACAGACTGGAGTCATCACAAGCATTATTCTACCTACAAACGACATACAGTACGAAAACGAGAACCTCTACCTCATTGAACGCCAAGGCTTCTTTTTTAGGACATATCTTGAAGAAGGGCTCGGACAAAATGTCTACCAATCTCTGCGTTTCCGCCAGAGACCTTGGAGCACTAGGTACCTGGCGTGAAGAAGAACCGTTACAGTTACATATTCCTCGTCGTCCTTCCACTGCATTATCGGCGTTTCCGTCAAGTACGAGTACAACAAGATTGGCGGCTTCTTCGACTGCCCTGGATTATAGCGAACACTTAAAGGGCGGCCCAGAAGTTCTCCCTCAGAGTGTTTCGGGTGTTGTCGCTGGAAAGGAACAACGGTTTGACGTTCAACCACGTGTGACTAAGTCAGCATATTTTCGACGACGGTCACTACCCAGAGCAATCAAGCAAGGAAACAAGGGAAAAGGGCTGAGGAAGACGGTCGCAAAGGGTTTGGAGTGTAAGTACTTTTTACGTTCAATCCAACATTGCAAAATTCATTCTCAATTGGTAATTTCTTTTTTTCTTTTTTGATTTTCGTTCTTTTCCCCTCTTTTTTGTTTAAAGCTGCTGTTTTCTCTCCCTACGACGGAAAAGAATCTCATACCAAGTTTTCACAGGCTATGGCTCTCAGACTACAATCGAGGTAGATGAAGAACATAGACAACCGAATCAACCTGACTATACTAAGGTTGAAGATGAAGATTCATCCTCCATCGTCTGTGCCATAGACATACGACTAAATGACGATACCAGTTCCGGCAACATTGAACAGAGCAGCCGAATCGAAGAGTCACCAGCGAGCAACCCGTCCACTTCACCTACTTCTTCACCACCGGCTGATCCTCTCTCACCCATAAACAACGACAACATGACCTCCTCTTCCTCCCATAGCCGCCCCACGTCCAAGTCCACCGCCTCCAAACATCCTGCCTCGTCCTCCTCTCCCACACCAAGATCTCCCATCCCATCGTTGAAATCCTCCACCACCAAAATCTCAATACCAACCATACCCCCCTCAGACAAACATGAAGATGAAGACAATAATGATCAAGAAAAAGACCAAATCGACAAAGACGACTGGCACCAAATCCACGAACCCGAACAACGTCGACGTATCCAAAACCGCATCGCCCAGCGCAAGTTCCGCGCAAAAGCTCGCTCGCTGAAAGACCAAGCGGCAAGGGACGCGCAAAATAGGCGGTATGCCGGGTGTGCGTATACGTGTCCGGAAGTGGGAGATTTACCTGTTGAGTGTGACATCAGGGAGGAGGAGGAGGGCGAGGGGTACGACTTTGAGGGTGAGGGTGGTGGTTGTGAAGATGGGCAAGAGGGGAGGATAGGAGGAGAGAGGGTCCTCTCGGGTTTACCGTGGGGTGGACTGAGCATGAGGTTTGTGGTCGGTCGAGGACACGGGTATTATCATTACCAACAAACATCAAAGGGATCTGGATCAGGATCAAGGTCTGGGTCTGGGTCTGGGTCTGGGTCTGGACCGTCTGGGACGGGTACGGGGACAGGAACGGTGACGTCGCTACTATCCCCTACGATCACGGGTTTGGGTACGCCTACACCTGTGCCTATAGGGACTAGCGATGGTGATGCCTGGCCTGCTTTGCAGCAGCAGCAGCAGCAGCAACAACAACAGCAACGATATCAGCAACAGCAACGATATCAGCAACAGCACCCACGATCGGCTACATATTACGGACAGCACGCGAGTGGGAGTAGTGCAGGGTCGCCTTTGTCATCATACGGGATGATGATGTCTATGGGTATGGGCTTTATGGGCAGTGGTGATATGGATATGGATGTGGATTATGCTATGGCGGCGGTACCTCCGGAAAGCGGAAGTGGAAGTGGAAGTGGTGGTCACGGAAGTTCCCTGGGGGTTGGTGATGGTATGGATATGACGTATTATGATTCATCGCCGTATTATTACGGCTATGGAAGTGGTGGTGGTGGTAGTGGTGGAGGTGACACGGCGAGCCGCAGTGGAGGCAGTGTCTAGGGACTGGACTCTGAGTCTGTGGCTGGATGACAAGGCTGTAGGAATTCTCTTCTCTATCCTGTGTGTTGTGTTTTTGATGATGGTTGGTCAGGATACGGGGTTTCTCATGACTGATTTCACTTCTTCTTCTCGTACACAGTATAGTGTATACCCTTTAGCGATTCTTGTTATACCCAAATATGATCAACAATGTAGATCTGTAGACTTCACAGGTTCCCCCCCGACGGTTTCTGTTCTGCCTGCCCGAGGGTTGGTTAGTCCCCGCCTATAGTGTCGAAGCTTGCAGTCCATGCTTCATTACCACATTGGCCTCTGGTAGCCTACCAAGTACACTACATCCAACATCTTATTCTTCTAGAAGGCTTGGAAAGCTTCCATGACACGGGAACACGGATCGGAGAGGACACACAACATGTTTTTGCGTATGTATTACGCTGTAGGGACCTGCATTATAGCCGAGTTGGTAGCGAATCCTTGTACAGTAGATGACCTTGATAGTACAGACCTGAAAAACGATCAAGGTAAGGCGAGGCGAGTTGAAGCAAGGGGAACATCCCGCGAGTACTTACTTTATCAGCGGGTTGGGTAAACTGCTGTGCCGTTTTGTATTCTTGCATGCGTCTTCTACGCATCTTCTTTGCATCCCGTATATTAATGAGCTGTAGGGCTGCGCAGGAATGGTGAGGGTATCCGGAAGCGAATCAATTAGTTTTGGTAACTTGGATGAGGTTGGACACCTCCTTTCTCTCTCCCCCCATTGAGTGATGCCTGTAGATCAGTTTTCTTCACCTAATTCTTGGCTTCGCCGTCCGCTGCCCATCCCCGCTCTCACCCCGAACCGCCACCGCATTTGTGTTTGTTAAAAGTTGCTTGCAGCATGCATGAAGCTGCCTGGGTTGGTGGAACCCAAGACGAGCAGGGTGACACATGTCCTGCGTGCCTAGACAACAGACATCACGGTGTGACTAAATCGGTAACAGCGGACTGTACGGGCATCTTGCTTCCGACGAGGTCGTGATGTGACGGTCGAGCGGGAGGATCAATAAGACAGAAGTGAACAACCGCCCGGAGTGATCTCTCATGACTTTGTCAGGAGCGACTACAGGCACGCCGTTGCATGATCATTGATTTCTTTTTAAACCTCAAAGAAGTCTCATTGACCGAAGGCTGGGAGACGCGCTCCAAGCTCGTCCAGCTACCGTGTCCATTATCAAACGTGGGTGTTCTGGACTTGTCGTTTTCAAGGGACTATTTCCTATGTCAAAAGTACATCGACATTCGTCATGTTCCTTGGTATGGTGGATGGAACGTTGCGGCAAGCGGCGAAGGCTCGAGGTTCGGTACGAGGTTGAATTTCTCGGCGGGGTTGGCTCGTGGTGCAGTCATGATTCGTGTGGCTTGAGAGAATTGAGACAGGTTGCTGTGATATGTCTATCTCTAGTAATGAATGAGGCTATTCTGAGATCTACCACAGTGCCAACATTCACGCCACGCAAAGAATGCCCATCTGAGAATAGATATCGTGGTTATGTATGGACGGCCTCATAGGGCTGCAGCGCGTGGAATGAAGTATGGCGTCGGTAGTGATGGGAGGACAGATGTCATTCGTAAGCCTTTTATTTTTTTATATCTTCATTCCGCTGCTCCTAAAAAAATGATGAAATTAGGAATCGAGTTGTCGTGGAAGGGAAGAAAAGACGGAATGAGAGCTGGAGGTGGACCTTCGCTTGAAGTCGCACAAAAGGTGGGGGAGCGGGGATAACCCGCATTTAGCCCCGCAAGTTGCTGAGGAGACGGGACCCACCTGGACTTGGGCTGTTGGAGTCGCTGTGGGGTCTCGTTTGGGGGGTTAAGGGCCGGGGCCTCTTCAAGGGGTCCTGGTTTACACCCCCTGCAGATTACTTAGCGCAGCTTCATCGTCATGGAACGTGTTCAGAAAATAGCAGGAAACGAGCACCATTACAACTTCCGACCCTCCCCCATCATCGAGACCATCTCGCTGTACTCACTGGAACTGGACGCTGATTCGACAGAACTGAAATCAATCTGCCGCCAGTTCCTCAGTTTTTCACCAAACACAAACCTGCCTGGCGTCGAAAAGTACTACCGATGCTCATCAGGAGAAGCTAGAAACAGCTACACCGAACAGCTATCCCAAAGCTCAAGGTACCGTACCCCCCTACCTTGGGACCACCTCCATCTTGGGAACAACATCAAGCCATGGCGCCACCACCACCCCGGCAACCGCGCCAATTGAGCTTGGTGCTCACCCTCTTCCTCCTCTGTTTCAATGCCCTCTTCGGCCAAGCCGCCGCCCAGGAGGACGAGGCCATCCTCAACAGCGAGATTGCTCGACTCAACAACCAGAGCTTGCTATGGGGTCCCTATCGCCCCAACCTCTACTTTGGCGTCCGCCCCCGCATCCCCAAGGCCTTGATGACGGGTCTCATGTGGGGCAAGGTTGAGACATACACCGACTATCAGACCTCTCTCCGGTACACATGCGAGCAGAATGAGGGCATGAAGGGTTATGGCTGGGACGAGTACGACACTAGAAGGGGCGGTGTTCAGTCCATCCACGACACCGAGAACGGCATCGACATCACCACCTCTTTCGTCAAGGTCCCCGGCGGCGCGACCGGCGGTAGCTGGGCTGCCAGAGTCAAGGGTCGGCTCCAAGAGGGTGTACCCTCGGACCGCAAGACTGCTGTCATCCTCTACGTAACACAGGAGGGACTTGGCACCCTTGAGGCGGCCAAGGGAGATGATGAGAATGGCTATGAGGGCGATGTCACCCTCAACGGCAACTCTGCCGCCCTCGGAGACTACAAGCTGGTCCTCACCAAGGGCAAGGGCAAGCACCCCAAGAGCGACCATAAGGTCACCGAAGTGCGTGGTGATGCCCACACTGTGGTTCAGTCCTTGACCTATCAGGAAGAGTTCCTTTGGCAGGCCAAGGGCATCGTCTTCAAGCAGCTCAAGGAAAGTGTCGACGCTTTCGTCGAAAAGTACTTTGATAAGGAAGACCCCCCACCGGCCTGGCAGGTATTCCAGCTCGAGAATCGCCCTGGAGCTGGAAATGTTCACATTATTCAGAGGGTGTTTGAGGGTGACTTCGAGTTCGATATCTTGTTCTCCAGTGCCTCGGCTGGCAAGGAGCTCTCAAGTGCCGATCTGACCAGGGAGATCCAGGAGGCTACTGAATCGTTTGGTGAACGCTTCTCGAGCGTGTTTGCCATCAAGGCTCCTTTTACCGCTGAAAAGTACGAGAAGTTTGGCAGGAGCATGTTCTCCAATCTCATTGGTGGTATTGGTTATTTCTTTGGAGAGTCCGTGGTTGACCGTTCGTATGCACCCGAGTATGAGGAGGATCACGAGGGTTTCTGGGAAGAGGCTGCTGCGGCCAGAGCTCGCAACAAGCCCACGCTTGAGGGCCCTTATGAGCTCTTCACCAGCGTCCCGTCCCGACCCTTCTTCCCCAGAGGCTTCTTGTGGGATGAGGGCTTCCACCTGATTCCCATTGCAGACTGGGACATTGATCTTGCCATGGAGATTGTGAAGAGCTGGTACAACCTCATGGACGAGGATGGCTGGATCGCTCGTGAGCAGATCCTGGGCGCAGAAGCCAGGAGCAAGGTTCCCGAGGAGTTCCAGACCCAGTACCCCCACTATGCCAACCCTCCTACGCTGTTCTTCATTGTCGATACCTTTGTCAACAGGCTGCGCAACGCTAATGGCACCATGCCTGCTGTCAAAGAACACCTCTCCCAAGGCGTCTCTCTTTCCAGTGCGTCTATCGACAACGTTGAGGTAGGACTCGAGTATCTCCGCCGCCTCTACCCGCTTCTTCGCCGCCAGTTCTACTGGTTCAAGAAGACACAGTACGGTGACATCAAGTCCTACGATCGCGACGCCTATTCCTCCCGTGAGGCTTATAGGTGGCGCGGCCGCACCCTCACGCACTGCTTGACCAGTGGCTTGGATGACTACCCTCGCCCTCAGCCACCTCACCCTGGTGAGCTCCATGTTGACCTCATGTCGTGGGTTGGCCTAATGGCTAAGTCGCTGACCAACGTCGCCGAAGTCATTGCGCCCGAGGAGGTTGAGGATTACACAAAGGTTCTCGACGGAATCGAGCACAATCTTGATGACCTGCACTGGTCTGAGAAGGACGGCTGCTACTGCGATGCCACCATTGATGAGTTTGAGGAGCACCGACTCGTGTGCCACAAGGGATACATCTCCCTCTCCCCATTCCTGACTGATCTGTTGAAGCCCGATAGCCCGAAGCTCGGCAAGATTCTGGCCCTTATTGGTGATGAGGAGGAGCTGTGGAGCCCTTATGGCATTCGTAGCCTGAGCAAAAAGGATGAGAACTACGGCACTGCCGAGAATTACTGGAGAAGTCCCATCTGGATCAACATCAACTACCTTATCATCACCCAGCTTCACGTAAGTCAACTGTTCCTAAACCATTGGGCTAAAGCGGCATGCTAACTCCCACTAGAACCTTGCAACCCAAGAAGGGCCCTACCAAGAGACGGCCCGCGACCTGTATCAGAGATTGCGCAAGAACGTTGTCGAAACCATCTACAACAGCTGGGAGGAAACTGGCTTTGCGTGGGAACAGTACAACCCGGAAACGGGCAAGGGTCAGCGTACACAGCACTTCACCGGCTGGACCAGTTTGGTGGTCAAAATCCTAGCCATGGATGACCTGCCCGAGGCTGCCCCAGTGGCCCCGGTTGAATCACAGTACGTCAAAGACGAGCTATGATGAGATTGAGCTGTCGTCTAATCAAGCTACATCGCTAGAAACGACATACCGGAGTTGTAAATAGGGGCGATGACAAGGTCTGACATGACTTTAAGAAAAATCATTGTAACGATGAATATGACCGCTTAACTACGTGCCACTGTCGGTTGTTCTTTGTTTGGATTCAACCACCTAGCTATTGTCTTGTTAAGGCTTGTGCGTATGTAGTCAGGGGGTGGCGCAGTTTGATCTTTGCTACATTCAACCCTAACCCGGGACCCTTACTCTGCTGTAAAAGGGTGCTATATTTGGCCCAATGTAGCTCTTTGCTCCGGAGCCCCGCGAGGCAACCCCTGACTCTGAAGTTACAGTTACGTGATAAGTGGAAGCCCAGGTCCGGGCATCAACATGGACCTTTTGTCGTATCCAACCTGCCCTGGACTGCTGCTTTCCATTCCGCCTTTCTGTCTACGTACAACTACGGAGCTGGCATGCTATTCAATGCTGCCCAATCGACTGATCACGAATCCTCGTATCGGTAGTATTGCATCTCACGACGGCGGGGGCCTACAACGAGGGCAACGATTTTTCCAATATCTTTCTGCCCGGCAGCAGCATGAATCTACGATACGTCCCGCCTTGAACTACCTCTACTACCTACACCATCCGATCACGACATCACCGCCTTGAACATCAGCAATAGCAATACCAACATCGGACTATAGTTAGCTAGCTACTACAATACGACAACGATATTCACGGACCGAGACACCAACACAACACCATGTCCAACTTCAAAAGGGCCTCCATGGCGGGTGCCGGACCAAAGTCCGCATCTTCGTCAGCGATGATGGCAGGAGGCGGCCACAGCAAGAACGGCAGCATCTTGAACGCCCTCCGAGCGACCACAATGATTGATACCAAGCCAGTATTACCAGCCGGTATGCCACCTATTATCCTCTGCTACCCCCAAAGCACTCTTTTTTCCAACACCAGCTAACAAATACGTCGATACTCGTAGAAATCCTCGTCACAATCCTCGATTACCTCCCCGTCTCCGACCTCCTCCGCTTCGCCCGCACCTCTCGCCGCATGCGCGAGATGGTCTACGACGACACCCGCTGGGTTGCCCGCCTGCGCTCTATGGGGGTGTGGGACGAAGCGGAAGCGCGGCGGCGGTTCGAGGAAGTAATGAAGCGACGGCGCGAAGCCGCCGAAAGGGCGGAGCGGGAACGACTCGCTGCCGCTGCTGCAGCAACGGGCGCAACAGGAGGATCAATGCCAATAGGGAGAGGACAGCCGTTTCCTGGACAATCACTGGAACTGTTTCCTGGATTGCAACAACAGTACCCAACGCCGCCGCCGGTGATAACGACGACCCTGTTCGATGTAGGCGAGGAGGAGCTGAGGAGGAAGAGGATCGCGGAAGAGCAGAAAAAAAGGGAGGAGGCGATTCAGGCGGCGGCGCAGAGAAGGGCGATGGAGGAGATGGAGGGGTTGCAGGATGGGTTTGAGACGATGAAAGTGGGCGGAGGACAAGGGGGACTGCTACCGACAGCGCCGCAAAAAGACCCCTTTTCGGACCCCGAAGCGTTGTTGAACGTGATCAAAAACGCCCGTTCCATCCGCGGCCACGCCCGACAAGAGTATGGCAAGATCTACGGCGCGCTAGCACCGTTCTACTTCGACCTGGCCAAAGCGAAATCGCACACCGACCCGGTCGTCTTTCGCGTGTTTCGGGATCCGGAGCGGCAAGCACAGATGTTGGCCAACCTGCGGACGTTTGCCAAGTCCGACTGGGCCGCTGGCTGGCGGCAGCGCGAGGAGAAGCTGGCGACTATGGCGGGCATCTTCGAGAGCGCGGTGCTACACGAGTTCGAGACAGGTTACGAGTTCTGGGACGTCGATGGGAGGATGCACAAGTATGCGCACGTATTGGATCTGCTGAACGGCGGGACGGCGGCGGTGGAGCTGTTCATCCATAAACATCCCATTTTCACGGATAAGGAGGTATTGGCGAACCCAATGGATTGCGTGAATCAGGCGCTGGCGGACGATGTTACGCTGGAGCCGTCAAGGCGGTTCTTTGAGGTGTTGACGGCCAAGGTCAATGAGCAGGCGGATATTATCCAGCGAGTGTTTCCGAAACCGGCCGAGGTGTTTTGGTTATTGATGGGGAAAATCAGGGATGATATCTTGACGGATTACGTGACGCCGTTGTTTGACGAGACGCATGAGAGGAGCCTGGCGGCGTATGTGAAGGCCGTTTCTGGTCTGTTTGAGCAAACGTTGCAGTTCTTTAGGACGGTAAATGCGCCGAAGAAGGAGGAAAACCCGAAGGAGCAGGAGGAGCTGGCAAAGGAATATGCGCTCAAAGTGTTTGAGCAGCATTTAGATCTTTATCTGGCGGATGAGTTGGATTACTTTACCCAGCAGGCGGAGGCGGAGGTGGGAGAGTGGGAGAAGAAGTTGTCGGAGCAGGATGCTACTGCGGAATCGTTCTACATGGGCAGCTTCACCAACAGGCAGGCGGATAAGAAGGACTTCTTGACGTCGTTCAAAAAAGTGGTCATGATGCCCGTGTCTGCTCTGCCAAGTTTGCCGTTAGGTTCGCCGTTTGCTTCAAAGCCTGCCACAACCCCTACGACAGCCACGACAGCAGCAGCGAATGGCGGCGAGCTACAAGCGCCGGAAAACCCTGAGCAGTCTCATCCAGTCTCTCCTAGTCTGGCGGCGCCAGTAACTGTCGATCGTACAGGAAGTCCCTTGCCGGACAAAGCCCCCACGGATGAACTAGCAGCAAAGGCTGCGCTAATGACGTCCAGGCTAGAGGGAATCAAGTCCCTCTTCAGCATCGAGGTTGCCCTCAGTCTCGTCCATACGGCCAAATCCAGTCTCGGCCGTGCCGCTGTCTTCATACAGCTGGGTGGACAAGCCGGCGGCGAAGCTCGCGAGCAATGCGAGGCCATATTCGTCGCTTTGCTCCGCATTCTCGGCAGCCGTCACATCAAGCCCGGTTTCGACAAGGCAGTCGCCCATCTTTCGCAATACAACCCGCGCGAGGTCTCCCACCACGACAAGGGCGGGGTGGCACCCCTGGTGACCTTCATCGAGCTCGTCAACGTCGGAGACCTGATCTCGCAGATGATCGACGTCTTCTACGAGCAACAGCTCACCACACCCAAGATCGCGGACCGCAACGATTTCCTGGACCCAGCTGGTCTGGCCAAGAAGAAATTCGAGCAGATGCTCGACGAAAGCGTCGCTGCCGGTCTCAACAAGGGCATCGACGTGCTCATGGACGAAGTCGAATACGTCTGCGCCACCACCCAGCAACCAACCGATTACAACCCCGCCATGACCACCGACCCATTCAATGACGCCGCCAGCATCAGCGGCATGAGCGTCACCACCGAAGGCACCACCAGCACCACCACCAACAGCAGTAGCAATAACAACCGAAAATCCCGATATAAATCCGGCACACCCTCCATCTGGTCCCTCCCCTCCCTCCCGGGTACTCCACCCACCCCCGGCGGCTCCAGTGGCACCACCAACTCCCTCGGACCGCAAGACATTGGCCCCACGGCCACCGCCCTTCGCATCCGCGACCTCGTCGCCTCACACACCTCCATGCTCACGGGATCCACCGATAAATCGATGCTAGACGTGTTCAACGGCGAAGTCGGCCTGCGTCTCTTTACCGCCGTATGCAAGCACCTCAAGCGCCAGCGCATCTCGACCGAGGGCGCCATCAAGCTCATTGCCGACGTGAATCTTTACTACGAGTACATCCGCACCTTGAAAAACCAAGACCTGCTAGCGTATTTCAAAGCGCTGCGGGAGTTGAGTCAGATTTACCTGATTGATGCTAAGCATCATGCCAAAGAAATGGCGACCATCATTGCGGATAACGAGCGGTTTAGTGGCGTGTTTCGAGCCGAGGAGGTGTACGAGTATGCGGAGCGAAGGGCGGATTGGTATAATGTGAGGAAGGAGGTGGAGAGGGCTATGTATGGGTTGGAGTGTTTGGTTATGTGAGGTAATAGGGAGGGACCATCGAAGGGTGTTCCTTGGTGATGATGGAACGAGTGTGGAAGAAGAAGATTTAACGAACAGCGAGCATGTCTATTCTTTTTGAATTAAAGAGCATGATGAGAATTCTAGTACATAAAATAGGATATGAGGGTTATATACATCGATGACAAAACACCACATACACATTTTCCGCTTTACGAGCTACATGTCAGGAGACTCTCCCGTGGATGTGATTCAAAACCGATTTGATGTCTATGGACTGATGATATGTGTGGTGCGCCCAAACGCCTTTCTCTTGCTCTATATTGTCAATGCCGTGCATGCATACTGTATGTGACCTTTCCAACCCAGTGTATCCGTTTCATAAGTATATAATGCCTTCTCCAGAAATGCTTGTCGTCATACTTGTAACCCTCGCCCATAGCCTCCTCACCTCGCGGCACCAAAGTCCAACTTCCTAGCGACCTTGGAGCCGCGCACATCATCATCCTCCACCATACCATTCCGTCTCTTCAAATCCGCCGCCAACTTCTCCTCGGCCCCTGCCGTCTTCTTCGGTAGGTCATGCTTGGGCGTCGGCTTAGGATCTGCCTTCCACCACCTATGCTCCAGCATCTCCCTCGCCGTGATACGCTTCCTTGGATCCAAAACCAGCGTCTTGGTCAACAGATCCACGCCATCGGACCCGACCGCGCCAAACCGACCCATGTACTTGTCCTTACCTGCCACGGGCACCACGTCGCTGGGAACCGTGTACTCCTTCAGCTGCGTAACGCCAGGCCAGTTCTCCTCCGTCGGCGTGCCGATTTCCCTGCAGATCAAGGCGATCTGTTCAACCTCCGAGTTACCAGGCAGGTAAGGGGCACGAATAATGAGCTCGGCAAACACCAGACCCACCGACCAAATGTCCACGGCGCCCGAATAGTGGCGGGCGCCGAACAGTAGCTCGGGAGGACGGTACCATCTGGTGATCACGTTCGCCGTCATTCGCACGCCGGGGTCGGCAAAGCTCCGTGCTAGACCAAAATCCGCCAGTTTGACTTCGCCGTCGGCGGCGATCAGCAAGTTGTTGGGCTTGATATCGCGGTGCAGCACGTAATTGTCGTGACACCACCAGATGGCGCGAGTCAGCATGCCCATCCAGGCTTTGATGTCGGCGGCGCCGTAGCGGACGTGGTCGACGTCGCGGATGAGCATCTCTAGGTCGCCGAGGGGAAGGTATTCAAGGACGAGGTTGAGGTTCTGGTCCTTGGATGAGAAGACGGAATGTAAGATGATAATGTTGGCATGGCCCCGAAGCTTTTGCAGGTACTTCATTTCGCGGATGGCGTCGGGCGCGATGCCATCTTGGTATTCTTTTTGGACTTTGATCTTTTTGATGGCGACTTGTGTTGAGGAGTCAAGACGGGAATGGCCGAGGTAGACGTTGGCGTAGGTACCTTCACCGAGTTTCTTACCTGTTGCGCACGATAATAGGTGTTAGTTCGATAAACTCCCACTGGAAGAGTTGGTATGACCGAGTACAACGCACCCTTAATGTATTTGTTCTTCTCGTCTTCGTTCATCTGTTCCATCAGATCCATAGTCGGGCGGGCTAAGGCGGCGATCTGCTGGCCCCGAGCCGACCGTGGAAGTCCCCCGCTTGGAGTGCCGCCGCTGGATGGCGGAAGGGATTTCGGTGGCTGGAGCGCATCGGTCGGACGCGCAACAAGAGGGGAGTTCGCCATGTTGCTGGTTCTCTCGGGTGCTTCAACCCTCGGGCGGACGGTGTAAGGTGATGCCAAAACAGTCGATTGCTTAGTCCAGAGATCGCGGGGAAAAGACGGGCTCGATGGGAGGAGAAGGTCGGGCGTCAACGGCAGATCAACGACCGGTGGCTGTTCAGTGGTTGTTTTGTTATTGTTGTTGATGGTGTTGGGCAGCTTCGTAGAGGCAGCCTTGCATAGACGGAGTTAAGATAAGGACGGAGGATAAGGGAAGAGAGAGTGGGATTGAGCTTTCCTGGCAGATGGATGCGCTGTGATGGATGGATTTCGGTGGAAGGGCCCTGTCAAGCAGTGCCGGAGGATCCCCGTGTGTCTTGTGGGTCCACTGGTGCCCGCTGGTGTTTTGAGACAGCGATTTCCATATTTGTTTCTCACTCATCCCGACATATACAAAAAGACATCTTTCTTTGAGGGTAGAAGGTATCAAAACATCCGTAGTGTTTCTTCACATATCAACATGGATATCTTATCATGATATATATGCATATCACCATCAAGGGAACCTCTGCCGCGGTGCCGTGCGATGCCCTGCCCAGCCCGCCGATGACACCGTCACACCGTCAAACTCGTTTAGGTAAGCACTAACAAGCAAAGACCCCTGTAGCCGTAAGGATAGACCAACAAGAGACACGCTAAACCCCGAAGTCTCAGTGCTCCACAGGGATGAGCAGGCGCCTGGACCCTGACGTCACTGCTCACCCAACCAAAGTGGCAGTGTGAAGGCTTCTTCCTCCTCGTGGACGAGCGTCGACATTAGTCCGCGCGCGCTGGGTACAAGCCGGAGATCATCCGTAGGTTGGGCTAGGATTAGAGAAGAAAAAAAGGACAATGATGAAAACGAAACCCATGCCATGGCAGAGACAAGGAAGTAATCCACGAGAGTAAGCATCATAGCGTGTCTAGATTACCATAGACTCCAGAACATAACTCCAGGATAACCCTTTAAGGTCCCCCCTTGTGCGCAGTCCATCTCGTCTCGTCCTACTTACTCCCCTTTTGACTTTTCTTTTCCTTGTGTCAACCCGGAACTTCTTGTAGTTTGTTGTCAACTTCCACTCGACCCTCCTGGACACGCAATCAACAAAGCGTGGTACATATCTACCTAGCACCCAAACAGTCGATTGTGGCAGCCGAGACGACCGAGCTTCCAACATTCTTTAAGCTTCCGTTGTCAGCATCTCAACCCTTGGGTATTCTTTACTACGACCACAATTTTTGGTCTCTTACGACCATATACTTCATAACGACGGGACGTGCTTCGTCCAAACTCCTACACGCTCGTTCCTTGTTCCTGCATCTCTGCTCGTGCATCTAGTTTACTAGCGAAGCTGTGGGCGCACAGAACCCGTGTTACATCATATTCTGCTTGTACACTACACCAACCACCTAGACATCAGACAGAATAACAAACCCTGTTAAAATGTTGCGAGGGATACTATCATATTGGGTAAACCTTCACCTTTCCCCCCATTCATTCATCCATCCATCCTTTCCTTCTTCCCATTCTCATTCCCCTTCCCCCAAGCTAAGCTAACACAATGCCCCTTTTCCAGATTTTTCCAATAATCTCCGGCGTAGTCTGGCTCGGCACCCTCCTCGGCCTGCTCATCTACTGGTGCACCGACGAACACCGGCGTCATTATTCCTCCATGGAATCGCGGCAAACCATAGCCTACATCTCCGACGTTGGCGCCTCCACCTTGAAGCCCCTCTTCATAGCCGGCTGTTCCGTGACCACCGTCTTCCTGGACCTCTCTTTCGGCGCCGACCGCTGGCTCCGCCACAAGGGCCGCTTGGTGCCCAACACCACCGTGACGGAAAAGGTCCTTTCGGGCATCACCATTGTGTTTGCCATCATCGGCACCTGCGGCCTGATCCTGTTGAGCATCTTTGACACGGCGCGATACCCCCGGCTGCACGATATTTTCTTGCTGCTGTTCATTGCCGGGTACGTCATCAGTGCCATCTTCATCTGCTGGGAGTACCAGCGCCTGGGCATGCGGTATCGCGAGCACCGCGTTTTGCGCATCTCGTTCTGGGTCAAGCTTGCGTTTGTCGTTGTCGAGATCATCCTGGCCGTCGCGTTTGCCAGTTGTAGTTACACTCAGCACTATAACCCGGCCGCGGTGTTGGAGTGGACCATCGCTTTCATCTTTTCTTTCTACATCTTTTCCTTCTGGATCGACTTGTATCCCGCGGTCAGGACAAAGGGGACCGGTGGGTACAGGGGAAACAAGGGCATGAACGAGCATATGGAACACAGTAGGGAGGAGCAGGGGATTGCGGGGAGTGATAGGACGTTGATGGGAGAGGGATATGCGGCTGCTCATGGTCATGGCCAAAGGAACAGCTACTACAGCGGTAACGGGTACAGTGGTAGCAGGCCAGGGACGGCGCCGAATCAGCAGAGCGGGTTGAGGGGGATGGCGCTCCCTAATGATTTTTAGGACAAAAGGCTAGGATGATGCGATGACTGTATTTCTTTTGAGGAAGAACAAGAAATGGCGATCAAAGGAGATAAAGGAGGATATTGAGTAATGCTGGAGAGTGCTGGGATACCACATGGTTTCGATATCACGATGAGCAAGCAAGGAGCGGGAATCCGTCCCGTCTTGAGGCGGTTCGATGACGGCAACCCTCAATGACTTATGAGGCGTTAAGGGATTGGCAACTTTTGGTTCTAGATCTTCACTTCTTTTTGTATACTTTTGTTCCATTATTATTGCAGTAATACAGACGTTACGAGTTACACCATAAAGCTGAAAGCAAAAGCCAGTATACAGTTCAGGCCACAGCAAGTCCGTGTATTCCATTGTTAAAATGGCTATAACCCATTAATGATGCCCTACCCTATCCTTCCTAGCCATGTTCAATCACAATACCTATCCCAGCCAACTTCCCAAAAACACACAGATAATGCTATCACGGTCATCTCATCGTTCCAGGTATATGTCCATACCTCCTCATCATCTTTCCCGAACCCAAATTTACGCACGCTCCCTAGTCGGATATCCAGCCCCCTCCCTCGCCGGAGCCCGTATGATCTCCACCTCCCGACTCAACAGCTTCCTCAGCGCCGGCGTGATGATCTTTTCTACTATCCCTTTGTCTTCTTCCGCCGTAGCCGTAGCCGTAGTCTTGCCCTTGTTATCCTTGGTCGTAGCTACTGACGGGGAAGACGCTGTCCTAGGCCCTGATTGAGGCCGAGGCGGCAACGGAGGACTGGATGATTTTGAACCCTCCGCATCTGCCAGAACGGCTGATACCGATGAGGACGAGGCTGTTGATAACGGCCTTCTGGGGCCGGGAAAGTGATCTTTCCTGTCGATGGCTTCAACTAGGCGGCGGAAGCGCTGGAAGAGGGCTTCGGCGCGGATGAGGGTGGATTCTAGGTCTATTGTGGTGGACAGTTCGTTCACTATGTGTGTGGGGCATCATGATTAGCATACAGTACATAGTTTGGCTAGTGATGATAATGACGAGGAGGGAGATAGGGGAGATGTTCAAACTTACCATACTTCAACACCTCATCAAAGTGTTTCAAATGCGTCATGATCACATCGCGATGTCTCTCCAGAATCGCCAGCGCAATGAACAAGTGGAACCCGCTGCTCAGGTAATCCGTCCACAACGCCTCCCACAGGCGCAAAACATCTGCCCACTCGAACTCGCGCTTGTACCACACCAGCAGCATGCGGAAGAAGAAAAAGAAATTCGTGCTGTCAGCCGACTCAAGGTGGGCGTACAGTTTTGGATCCATGAAACGGACCAGATTGTCCAGCGCCAGGAGCTGTGCCCGCATGCCGGACTGGTCGCGAAGGAAGTTGCGCTCCATCCGGTCCATGAAGTGCTGGAACGCCCAGAAGGCGAGGGCATCATCTTGCAGGACGGCGTAGATGGGGGCGAGCAGGTCGGACATGCCTTGGACGTAGCCCAGACCTTTGTTGTACTCATTGTAGGTCAGAAGCATGTCCTTCAGCTGCTCCATGTGGACGTTGGTTCCTGTGGAGGCAAAGGGGGAGTCGGGGTCGGGGTGGGGGATGTCTTCGCCGGCGAAAATTGGGACGTTTCGGTCTGTTCGATGAACATCCTTCTCTGTAAGTAATACTGTGTTAGGAATCTCTGATATATATATAAAAAAGACAATAAACGCTGATGTGTTGGAAAGGAAGCCTTACCGATCCTGTTTCGCTGCTCTCTCCACCACTCACCCTCTTCGCCCTCACCACCCAAATCAACCTGCCGCTCCCACCAGGCGCCCTTGAGCTTGATGTAAGCGTCTCTTAACGATGCCGCTTGTGCCTTGCGCTCGTCTGCCGTGCTGTACCAATCATACACCCCAAGCAAGAACAGCCACGCCTCCTTCCTGACCCCATCCTCAGGATCAAGGCCGCCATGGAAGATCCTTTCTTTCACTTCGTCAACGGTAATATTCAACCTCCCCGTCTCCTCGTCAAAGAAGCCATTCCACTCCTTTAGCGTCAGAACCCTCCTCCTCTCCTCCAGACTCAAGCTATTCGCCCCATCCACTAGCTCAAACTCGCCCACATCCGTATCCTCCAGCTCCATGACATCCCGCGCCGTCCATATCCGCCTATTCCTGTCCCTATCGCTCTGCTCCGCTATACCCATCGCCCACCTTGCCAGGTAAATCCTCGCGCTGTCGAACTCGTCCTGCAACGTCTGCACCTCCGGGTTCCTCAGCAGCCTTCTCATTTGCGGCGGCACGCGCGGGTTGTCCAAAACATCGTTGGCCGCTTGGCGGGTAAACGTGGTCACCTTGCTGAACTTCTCCATCAGATTCCAGCCCGCTTCCTTGATCAGCTTGACGAACGGGTCCATGCCGGCGTCCTGGTCCTTAGCATTGGCGCCACCTGGCCCTCCACGCGAAGATCCCGCCTGTGCCGCCGTATTTGTTGTAGGCTTCCCCCCAAATGCAACACTATCCTCCTTTGACGGCTCGACTAGGTATATATTCGGCTCGGCCCCGCTCCGCTCAATCTGCACGTACCGCCTCAGCCACCGGAGCACTTCATCGCCGCCCCAGAACATCTGACCCGCTTCGCCGAAGGGGTCAAAAGTGTCGGCCGTCCGCTTCTTCTTCTGCAAAATGGTACTCTGGCACTCGCTGTCATGGAAAAAAAGGGCCGGGAAACTGTCGCCGCCTCGGCTGTTGATGATGATGCTGCCCCACCACCATCCCACGCTCGGTGGGCGGATCAGCAGGCTGTAGATAGCGCTGACGGGGATGGCAAAGGCATAGGGCCCGACGGAGCCGCGGTGCGTAGTGACGGTTGGCGGAGGAGGGACGAGGTAGGATTGCTTGGGTGGCGAGTCGCCGTCGCAGAGGTCGACTTTCACGTAGAGGTTGGCTGCTTCGCCAAGTTGAGACTCGGGGACCCAGGCGAGGAGGAGGTCCGAGGATGCCGGGGTGTTGCTCGGATCCCGCGAGGAGGAGGAGACGGGGCGGTCATCGCGGTGTTGGTTTCTTTGTTGGAGAAGCGCGATATAGCCGGGGATGTTATCTTTTGCGGATGGCGTTGGGTGGATGTAGACCTGGGATTCGGTTAGCATTGCGGCAATAAAATAAAGGATACCGACCATTCATGCCTTGCTCTTGGTGTATAGAAGTTTCACCCCTCTTCCCATAGAGGTGTGAGTGATGGTGTTGTAATCGCCTTCCTCGTCGTCGCTCATGGCATAGTAGCTCCCGGTGGGTGATGAAGGCTGTGGTCTCGAAGTCGGTACTGGAGTCGGGCGCGTTAGTAATACTGTTGCTGGCGCGGCTGTTGCAATGCTTCCTGTTGTCGTTGTGGTTGTACCTGCTGATGTTGATGTTGATGTTGATGTTGATGTTGATGTTGAACTGTCCGTAACGGGTGGGGTTATACTCGACGTCATCTTCTTGATCTGTGTCATGCTGTAGGACTAACAATTGAAAACAGCCATCGACTATACACTGTGCTACAGAAAGTGAGCAGCGGCCTTTCAATAGCCGTCTTTGTCGCAGATAATTGAATGGGATTAGCCGTTCGGAAAGTATATAATTGTGCGCCACTCTTGAAAACAAGTTATTTGTGCAAGGCAAGAAGTGGCAGGTGATGGAACGGAGGGATGTGGTTGGTGTAAGGACTGGAAGTTTCCTAATAACCGACGGAACGAACGTTAGTGTCACAAGCTTTAATGATCACACGCTCAGTCTCCCGACTCGACGTAGGTATTTCAACTCTTTCTTCATCAATTGCCAAAGCGCAATGCCCCGCGCTGAGCTGTTATGCGACCGAAGTCCTGCTGCATGTTAGCGCAGCCCGCCGTCAAACACGCTATCGTGAACTCTAGGTAGGTACTACTGTGTTGTCGTAAGTCAACGAGACGGTCGTCACAGGCCTCGTCACCCTATCAGATATTTACTGGGCAGTAGTACTTCTAGCGCAGTCCAGACAAAAACCGCCACGACAGGGGGGTTCCTGAATCCACGACGACCCGGCGGCACCTCTACCCCTGCTCCTTTCACCCCCCAACTACCACCATGTTCAATGCCTAGTGTAGGTATGGCAGGACCCAACACCCAGTCTAGTTACTATTACGCGGCCTTTTGCCTCTTGAATATTTGATTGCTTCTTTGAAATATAGTAGGCGCGCCAAATATTCCGGCAGCGAAACCATCAAGCCGGACCCTCCTTCCGAACATACGCGGCTTGTATGCAGTCTTGCATGTGCGTATAAGCATAGTGTGCTTCACTTACACATTAAAACCAAAGTGATCTCTCACAAGACGCGCTCTACGCTGGGAGGGTGGGCTCTTCTAGTTGCCACTCGCATCCTTCAGTATCCGCGGTGCCAGATACTCTTTCGCCTTGCTCCAAGCCTTCATATCGTTGGCCGAGATGCCCTGGCCGTCCAACGTCTGCAAACCGGCATACACGGCTTCGAAGAATTCGCACGCAATCTCCAAGTCTTCGCTAAATGCCATAGAGTAAGGCACGAACGCATCGGGGAACGTTGCCAGCCTCTCGGCCTTCTCTTTCTCACTGTTCCAGTTGATCGTCTCGTCAAAGTACGTCTTGACGGCAATTCCGAGAGCGACATCGGGGTTGAAGAGGAAGGGAAGCCTAAATGTCCAAGTCAGCAATTATCATCCAAGATTCGAGAGTAGCAGCACGTGTGAATAGAGGGTCCAACTTACTGGTGGCTGAGCTCCCAGCTATCATCCCTCTTCCTTTGTCCCTGACCGTAGAGGAAAAGAGAAGCCAAAATGGCCTCCATCAAAGCGCGTTCAGCACTCCTAACCTCGCCAGCCAACGAGTGGAACGTCAACAGATTCTTACTCAAAGGACCAGTGTATCCATTAGCTTGGTGTCGCAGCTTAAGCAGTGTCGCACAGCGGCTAATCAGCATCAGACTAGACTTGTCATCGTCATCGCCGTGCATAGGGAGACTCAGAGGTTCCACAACCTTGAGACTGCCGTTGAGAAGTCCAAATCTGACCATCTCCATAGCCACAAGCACCGATTCGTAGAGATAGGGAACCGTAGGAAACTTCTTCACCACTGGCTCCAGCGTGACCATGGCGCGGTCCAAAGCCTTGCCCCAATTAGTCAAGTTGTGCTGGTCGTCGATATAGCCGCGGACATGGAGGTACCTCCATAAACAAATCGACTTGATGATACTCGCTGATTCAACATTCCTCGCCTTGTTCCTTTGCTCCGCGAAAGTAAGCTTGACAAAATCGGGCTTCGTCAAAGCATGCACTTCGGAAAAGATCGATCCATGCTCGAAGCCGGGGAAATGCTGCTTAATATCCGCCTCCTTGATAACTGCCCACGTGGCCATCTGTACTCCGTAGTTGGTCTTGGTCCTAGCTTCATGACGATGGTCGAGCACAGTAGCGGAGTAGTTATCATCATACCAAACCTTCGCCTTGATATCCTTGTACACAATTCCACGGTGCAACCGAGCAAGCACCAAGCTAAGCGCAGTCTCCTCGAGAGGGACGAGTTGGCTTGAGACAAGCTTCTTGTACTCCTCGGTAGCGGAACCGTCCAGAGTCGGCAAAACGTATACTTGACTGTGCGTAATCCAGCTCAAGAGGCGAGGCCCGATCAGGCCAGTATTGAGATAGTGGAACATCTCCCAGGGAATTTGGAGGCCTAAATACTCGTGGTTGTCGTTTGTCAGGTGGTCCGCGTCATGAACCTTGACTTCGCCGCTCTCCGCAATAAAAACAAAGTGCTTGACAGCCATCCATGCCTTGCGGTACTTGTCCAGCCAGGTAGGATCCTGGTTCTTGATCAAATCGTGAAAAGTAGTGCTGACCATTGTGACCGACTTGTCGGCTGTCCGGAGCATGTTGATGGCATCCACTATGTTGTAAGGCTGGCTCTTGACGAGGGTAGAATCCGTGAGCGGAGGAAACGGAGGAAGGAAGGGAGTGCCGGTCATGAGGAAGGCGTCAATGAAGTGTGGCTCGCTGACGTTGAGCACCTTCATTACGTTCTTTTTGGAGATGGCCGCGCAGGTGTTGCTGGTCCAGTCGATCGAGCGGATGACGCAGTCTTGAATAGGGTAGAGCATCAACTCCAACGGGCCCATGATGCCGCCGCATTGATCAGAGTCGATCATGTCCAGGTATGCGATCTGCGCAGCAGCATTGTAAGGCGCGACCAGAAAGTGAAGTTTTCGCAGCCTCAGCTCCTCTTGGAGCATGGGATATAAAGCCTGGATGTTGTAGAGACCTTGACCCGTAAGCTATTGTCGAACCGTACAAGCCAAGATATAGACGACTTACTCGCACACTCGCCAAAAGCGGCCACAGCTGCCTCGGCTTGCCCTTCGCTGTAGAGCTTCCACGCAACACCGGTTTGTTTCTGGATTTCCCGGCCCAGCTTCGTGGTGACCTCGTCCTGTCCGACCATAGGTTGGCCATCGAAAATGAAAAAGGGGGTTGTGCGGTTCTTGAGCCAGTTGTCCAATTCGACTTGTATGCGCGCCTGAATGCCGGTGAGGCCTCCGAGAGCGGTCAGTAGCGGTTCGTTATAGTTTTCCGCTTGTTCGAGGAGCTGTCGGAGAAAGTATGACGCGTCGACGGCGATGGCGCATTCCTGCAGCTCGGATACGTTGTAGGATCTACTCGGTAGGCGGTTAGCGAGCGACTCTGAAGGTTCAATGATCAGCACTGGGAGCCAAGGTCAACTTACACTTCCTGGCCCTTGAACCAGGGATCTTCAAAGTTGACTGGCATGTTGTTAGTATGGGAAGAGATGAAGCAAGCGGCAGCGCGAGCGAGTGGTGGGCTGTAGGTGGGTAGAAGGTGATGGCAAGGGCGGCGAGCGGTGTCTAGCTGGGTCAGGCGGTCCTGGTTCGTGCGGCCTCGAGGTGGAAGGGCGAGAAATGGTTCGGTGGAAAGCGGATAAGTGAGGTGAAATGTAGCTCAAGTTCCGTCCTGAAGGATTGCCAGCAAAATAGTGAAGTGGCAGCACGAAGTCAAAGTATCGGGTGCGAGGAACCTCGAGGGACAAATGTCTGGCGTTGCTTCCACTTTGGATTCGGGCCCGCAATTGGCTAAGCTGTTCGTGGCAGCGGGGAGGTGGACCCCAGCATCTATTTACAGGCGAGGAAGCATCGACCCTGTAGCATAGGGACAAGCAGAGTCGGCACTTCTACCTGGTGTCGCAGGCAGTCCCAGGGGTACCTCTGCTTGTAGGCAGCGGCAGGTGGTAGAGGTAGGTACCCGTCGCATGTGTCATGGTGGTCGAGCATGGTTCCGTTCGTTGCTTAGAGGTAGGTTTCGTGACCGAAATCTACCATTCCATTCCTTTTACTGGCCGCATTGCCCGCCCCCCCCTTCGACTTCGAGGTAGAAGGGAAAAGGACAAAGCATTGAATGGAACATTGAAATCTGATGATGGAAGAATTGCAGGACTCACCTGGCATCTTGGAAATGTTCCTTCTGGACGCCAATGAGGGATCCCACAATTGGTAAGATTCAAACAATTGAAGTGAGGTGCAGTGACACGCAGGTAGGTAGCTGTGAGCTGGAGGCTAGGGATGTACTATGCAGTATAGGCGGCACGGGACAGGGTTTGGTGGAGCTTGTCCTCGGGCAGCTCGCAGTCGGAGCTTGCAAGGAAGCGCAGTGAGAAGTTGAGGGCCAAGATGGGCTAGAATTGGGGAATCATGGAGGGGAGAACTTGGGGCAGAAAACAAGTGGAAATGTACTGGCAGATCACCCAAAAGGGACGGATACTGTCAACGGTGATTTGGGGGGGAGGGACTGAGGAGAGGAGGTACCTCTAGAGGTATGCCGGTATGCCATAGGTAGCCCCCGAGTGCGTGGAGGGTCAGATCATGGGTACTTGGCAGCTTATCAGCCAGGGTTGGGGTTATAGCGGACGATGGAAAGAACGGTCTCGACGCCGTGGACCTTCCCTTGTACTGTGTAGATGACCGTGCCTCTGGGTTCGGTCGGTTCGTCCCACACTAGGCAGGATCCAGGTGAGAGATCTAGCAACTGAACAAAGTAGACGGATAAATACCTTTGTAGGTACCTACGACTACCCATAATATGCAATCTACGTCAATTGCAGTGAAGGAGCGGATGGAACTTGGCGTCCGGGTTCTTCGATCGCTGCCACAGGGGCAGTTGCCCGACCTCTCACCAATCCCAAAACTTTGAGTCACTTGAACCAAGAACGTCCCTCCCCTCGCCAAAGTTGGTTGAGGGACACATAAGGTAAATAACGAAAAGTAGTCAAGACATTCATCTTGCGCCAATCTTTTGTTCTTTACAGATCATGGCCGATAATGCGAAGCCGTCACCTCAGATTGAGGCTGGAGGACTTCGAACTTGGTCCCAGGAACCTTCATGTCAAAAAGCAGCACAGGCAGACGGGATCACCCGAATCCCAGAACTCTTGGACCGCTTGGGTGTTAATGCCGCAACAGGGATTTGTTCGACCGAGTTGGAGAAGTGTTAGCAAACCTTGCTTGCCATCATGATACGCTACAGCTCGGCCGCTCAACGCAAGATAGCCTAGGCGTTGTGACTGAGCACACCTCACATCAGCTTTCCTGTGCTTGCTTTAACGTAGAGCGGGAGGTACAGTAACGAGTCCTGGCAATACCGTAAAGACTCGTGCCATTGGGTTTTAGGTTCCCTGGAAATCAGACATAATCTATAAGCATACTGTACGAATATGTGCTTTTTGTGCCCGGTAAAAAGAGTGGGGGAGACAGCGTAAGAGCCCGGAGCACTGTAAATTCGATTCTTAAATGTCATGCCTTTTTGCACCTATCTTTTCATGGGCGCGGGAGGGTGGGGACATTCAAAATCACCGTCTTGCATAGAATTTCCGGTGGGCATGAATGTTGCAGGATGCTTGAAAATTATGTCTGATTTCCTGGGAACCTAAAACCCAATGGCACGAGTCTTTACGGTAGGCACTCACAGTTTCAAGTTCCTTGCAGAGGTTGCTGTTTCGGCGTGCTTTGGCTCGAGGACCCTGCAGGGAGTAGGTGACTGCGACAGTTGGCCGTTCTGGTCATGATGCTGGACAGGAGTATCTACCCGTCAGTTCAGTTCAATGCGCTGGGCGGCAGGGAGTCATGGTAGTGGTAAACAAAGAAGTCATGCCCGGTAGCCAACGTCACTTTGATCATTGCATCAGCCATGACCGAGCGGGTAGCTCCGCCGATTCGATCTTCGACCCGTGCCGTAACGGCCGAGCGGTAAGTACGTCTAACCATTCCATGCAAGACGCGGCGGACGGTACAGTACGTATCTCTACATATACTGCAACGGAGGGGCCCGCAATCGCACCGGCCCGGGGCTCTTTCCGGTACTCGGTCACAGGTAAGTATTTCGGGTTGTTCGCGCATAGCGGTCGCCCTGATAGTGCACTAACAGCTCGCAGCCAGCCTTGAGAGGGAGCTGGCTCAATTCCATACTTTGCAATGCATTTATCCACCAAATAGAGGATGATGGCGTAGCAATGACACTCGTCTGCCAATCAGATGGCCATCGCATAGCACTAATTTCAACGGGGTAGCATCCGCCTGGCTGGAAGTTTCCAACAGTTGGCAACCTTGGTGGTTCTGCGGGTTTTAGCTCACCACTGGATGGCAACTTGTAATTATCACGGGCGCAATGGAAGCTTCACCCTGGTCTCAGGCTTTTGTTCTGGCGCGAACTAGTGAAAGCTCGTCACGCTTTCAGATTGTGCCTCAAGGGGGCAGACCTTGAAATAAATTGGAGCGACACGGGAAGAATCTGGACGAACATAATATGGAAGACAGGAGATGGGCGCAGTAGCTAACGAAAGATGATCTGTGGACATGCATCTCATCTTGCCCGAAAGGCAAGCAGGGCTGGGTGAATTGTCCGCTCGGGATCAGCGTTTGTTCTTCGACTCGCTTCTCATCGTGGATCCCGACAGGCAGGCGGGCAGGCATTCCAATTAAACATTTGACGCAGACTTATATTCCCAGTTTCCAGCACATGTACATAGTGTACACACGAGCTATCCTACGCGACTGTAGCAGCCAGTGATGGCCGTCAAGACTCAAGAGTGGCGATAGGATCAAAGTCTCGACGGTTCTCTCGAACAAGCACTTGTCGAGCTGTAGCCCCATTTTTTTCTTTCTTACCACTATATTACCCCGTACTTTCCACTTTTAGGTCAGAAAAATTGCATGAATTCCACTTCTCACGGCATCCACCGATGACATCCACTCCGCACCGACAGGAACGGCGAGAGGAAACAAATGAACTGTATGGACCAAACGGACGGGTAACCACGTTTTCCCTGGTGGTTGAAAACGAAACCGCCAAAACATCCAACACCGCATAGGTCCGTCGAGCTGAAAGCTGCGGTGCCTGCATAGACCCATAATTCTCTTCAGTTGCAGACCTCATTCACCCCGAAAAAGGACCCTTGATACATGGTCTCACATTGAGCTGGACGCTCACTTGTCAACCCCTTGCACCGCCTTTGCACCGCTTGCTGCTGCTGGAGCCATCCCGACTTGTTGCCAGGCAAGCCAAGCACCCCAAGGTGCACGAGAGGCTCCAGGACCGGGCCATTCAAAAGGAGGCAAAAAGATCCACGATCCCATGGTGCCATCCACCCAAGCACACTATCCAATCCGTACAATCCACCCACTGACCGCCGTCGAGCGACAAGTCAACGAGATCACCAACCTGCGACAAAAGGCCAACGAAGACGCGCACTAATCGAACATCGCCGTCGGAAGTATAACCCATTACCCAGTAGGAACTGGCAATTGTAGCTGGAATTGCGGTTGGCGCCACCCGATCAACCCGGTCCAGGGATTGGAGTGCAGTTGTTTTTTTTTTGCTGCTCGTCAAACATCGCTTGCCCCGTTTTATCGTCGATGCCGATTCCGAATTGAGACTCCCCTCCGCCCCCGTCGGTTGCTGCCCCCGTCGCTGCCCCCGTTGCTGCCACCGACCCTCGTCGCCTTTTGAACACCAGCCTCCCGCAAGTCCTCCTGACCCCGTCTCTCCATCCTCCCACGCCAGCCAGCAAGTTCTGTCTCCGTTCGTACATTATTCTTCACTTACAAACTTCGATCCACTTGGTCGTCTTCCCGACGTCAAATTCTGCAATACAATAAACCTACCTACATACATAGCCTTCGCCCGCCTTGACTCCAACCGGGAGAGCGGCCGCGGCGTCTGTAGGCGCGGCAGATGATATATTCGCATGATGGCTACCGTTTCCCGGACTGCAACTGCCTTGACGACGCCGCCAGCCACATCCCACGGCAACAAGTTCACGTGGGACAGCGCGTCGGTGCCCGTCCATTCGGAGGTGAGTCCATGAGTCCATCATGATGTCCTGGTAATTCGGGAGATTACACGCAATATCCCCTGTTCCCCGCATCTCGTTTTACAAATTCTTATTCCTTATTAACTCCCTGCCCCGGAAACACCATGTGCCTGAGGCCTTCGTCGTGCTCCTGAGCATCGAGGCTGCCTGCGTGCATCTCGCCCATCTATCCGTTCTTTCCTTCCTTCTACCTATCCTCGTGCCCACCCTGCCCTGCCCTGGTGCCTGCTTAGGTTGGCTCCAAGGAGGCATCCACTCACGCGCCATTGCCGATTGCCATCGCCATCGCCGTTTCCATCGCATTTCATCCTCCATTTTCTTCCACTGACATTCTCTTTTTCCTCCTTCCTCTTCTAGAAGCCTGTCAATCCCAAGAGATCTTCCATCAACAATGAGAACGGCTACCCCTTTGGCCGCCCTGTCCTAGCTTCTCAAAAGAGGAATTCGACTCTGCTTGCCACTCACAACACACCACCCATGGACCCGCTCACACACGACCACTATACCGGGGATGTCGCCGACGATGCCAGGTTTACTCGAAGCACCAGGGACGGGGGGAGTCCCGCCGATAGTTTGTTCGACCCAGAAACCGACGAGAGCAAATGGATTCACCGCGACAAGCTCGCCCAGATTGAGAACGAGGAACTACAGGCTGCGGGTTTCGTCTTGCCGGTAGCGAGAGACAACAGGGCACGGTCGAAAAGCGGAAACCGTTTGAAGAGGGATCAAAGCCAGGATAAGCTTAGCGGTCAGGCTAGATCCATTGGCGGCGGTGAGCACGTCGGCTCGAGGTCTAGAAAGAACTCGTCGGCCACGCAGGACTGGGACAAGCGCGCCGATGATGGTGCTGAGCACGCTGATTCTACGTCGAACCCCGGCGCTAAAGTAACATCCCGGATACCTGTGCCGAGAACCAAGGCTTACCCAACAACGCCAACTGATGAGAAGGCGGCTGCCTTCGGGCGGAAACGCGATAGCAGTCCTGAGGAGGATAAGGAAAAGATAGCCTATCCGAAACCACGAGGACGCAGCGGCAGTACAGGGAACGCCCTTACCAAAGCGGCCAACGGATCCGACGCTCGGCCTGTAGCTAAGCGGGCCGACACCTCCCCCATGAAGAGCAAGCCGGCTGCGGGAGCCAAGAAGGTTTCCGGCAAGGCTGCGACTGCCACAACGGCGCGACCGCGAACACGAGGTGCATCCGCCAAGGATTCAACAGGTGCTCGGCCAACGACGCGTTCTGGTGACCGAGAACTCTCGCCCACAACGCACAAGCCGATGGAAGGCGAACCACCCTGGATGGTTTCGGCATTCCGCCCCGACCCCCGTCTACCACCAGAGCAACAACTGCTACCAACGGTGGCCAAGCGGTTACAACAGGAGAAGTGGGAGCGGGAGGGCAAGGTTGGCAACGTCTACGACAAGGAGTTTAGGCCACTCACAGACGAAGGCTTCCTCGAGCCACCCGAGCATCCTATCGTTGCGCCTGAACATGAACCGGCGGAGAACGAGAACGAGAAGGAGAACGAGAACGAGAACGAGAAGGAGGAAGAACAGGAGAAGGAAAACGAAAAGGAACAGCCGCAGGCAGACTGGCCCTTAAAACCCGCCGAGCCTCAATGTCCTCAGAGTCCACCTCCTCCGAGTCTCCATAGCCTTCAGAGCCCCCGGAGCCCAGCTCCCGTTGGACGGACCAACTCATACTCGACAATGCCCAAGATTGCGGACAAGCCGATTCTGACCAAGTCCCCCAGCCCGAAGAACCCCCCACAGCGTCCTCACCCATCAGAGGTGATCAGGGTACCAGAGCCTCCCGAGGATCCGCCTCAGAAGAAGGAGAAGGGAGGATGCGGATGCTGTATAGTTATGTGAGTGCTAGGCTCCAGAACTTGGGCATCCATACTCGCCTGTCCAGTCAACCGACAACTTATCAAATCCATCAATCACCAATACGACCTTTGGTCCCTTATATCGTCGTCCGCCACCATCAAGCCGTGACTCTGCTATCATTGGCTTTCTGGTAGTCCTTGAGCACTACCCTGAATAATGACGAAATGAGCTCCTTTTTCTTATATTCAAGTCTGGCACACTCAATTCTGCTTTTGTATCTACACTCATCACAACCACGCGCACACGCACATACCCCCCCCTGCTTGATTGTCTGCTACTTTTTTGCAGCGTTCCCTCATTCTTTTCCTTTGTCCTCAGTATTCTTTTTTTTCAGAGCTTCCTGCGCCAGACTGCTCGTTGCTGTCAGCATGCTCCCGATCTTTAGCCTTGTCTCCGACCCGAGTCTTATATCAAAGGGTGCAATGGTCAGCAGCATTGTGACCTAACGAAAACTGGAGCTTCTCAACCATGGCGACGGTTCTTCTAGCGAAGCAAGAAGCAAGGGTTATTTCTCAAACGGTGGACGGACAGTCACAAAACTTGGGAGGGAACTCCCCTGTTTGGGTTTCGACGACAAACCGAACCAAGATCAAATCATTTTTCCTGCCGTGCCAAGTCGGGAGCAAAAGCTGAACGAATCTTCTGGAAAAGTGGAATTCTATTCGGCAAACGAGAGTCAATCCCTGACGTGGATTGAGAGAAGATCTAAACCGGCAACCGAGCAAGGAGAGCGAGGGAGATAGAGAGGGGGAAAGGAGTAGGAAGACTTGAAAGGAATATTGGGGTTCAAGGAACAAAAGAAGGAAGGCGAACACCAAAACAAACCCCCCTGGTTATAATACCATCTTATCTTAATTCCCACGATCCTCTTGTACATGGTCTGGTTTTCTCTCCCGTCTTTTCATCAGTCGTCGAGATCATCATCCATCCATATTACGCATTACTACTACAAGTCGAACTAGTCAGTCAACCCAGAACTAAACATACTACTTGGTTTATCCTCCCACAACCAAAATTGGCTTTTTCAAAGTTTGTGTTTTCTGTTTGGCTTAGGTGTTTTGTTGTTCCAGCCTGCATTATCTGTATCTCTGTTTTTCCGTTTGTGGTTACTTGCTTGTTTTATTTTGCGCTGTCTGCTTTTACTGTCTCGGTCAAGTTATGCTTTTTTTTTCCAACAAAATGGGGCAGAACGCGCGGAGTTTGTTTCTTTAATTTGGTTTATCTTCCGAGAGAGATCGATCGAATGGTGCGGGCGTTTTTTTCCTTTCCTTTCGAGGTCTTTTCCTTGTTTTCTTTGTTTGTCGCTACATGTACGCACGGCATGCACACGCAATATTTAAGAGAGGAGAGGTGGATGGATTAACCAAGATAACCGTCGCGAGGCGGTTTGAAGGGGATACAATGGAGGAAATCGAAGCAATGGGGGCGAGGCAAGTCAGGATGACTAGGATAGAAACTAAGAGAGGAGGAGGCAAAGAGAGTCAGTCTCTCTATCCTCTCTATCAGCTGACTACCTAGTAGCTAGTCGTTCTGTTGACGAGAACAATAAAGGGATTTTTAGCATACCTTTACTTCACTATGTACTCTTCATGATAATGAGTGAGCATGGTAACACATTACTGTTAGGTTATAGCTAATAACCTGACAAATACTCCAGTACTGGCGTTATCAGCTATGATCTCCCCATAATCTAGGTTTACTGTGTAAAAGAAGTAATGGGGTTGAATACTATCACTGGCGTAGGTAGCTATTCGTGAGAGGTACTGGAATTGGAGGTTGAAGAAGCTATGCAAAAACTATGCTCAAAAATGACTTCTAACCCCTCCATCACTGCCTATCCACAGCACTCCAGTCAGTGACATTTTTTACCACAGTTGAGTAATATTATCACCACCCTCCTACCTGTTTTTGTCCAGACTGCCCACTACGTACCACCAAGCCTCCGTCTCCATCCTCCGCAGGTCAAGTTCGACCTGACTCCGTGTGCTTGGTTAGTTAGCACCTCAAGTGCCTTCAGATATGGAGATGCTTACTTCCGGGAAAATCACGCATGTAGTAAACTAAGCTGAGCACGGAACGGGGATGTCACACGAAATACAAAGAAGCGGCCCCTAAGTATAGTGCACAATAGATGCTACATAGATATCAGATGTAGGTCCGTAAGCCGCCACAAAAAGAGAGCATACTACTTGATGAGCGTGCACACATTTGTGAATTGGAGTTTATTTGATTTCAACCATACTTCATTTGTATGTATTTTTGAACATGATAAATATTCTTGTTTCTGCGTAAGAACGTAGCTTAGTAGCTTCACCTCTTCGCTAAAGAAAGAAGTCAGGTTCCAACCATACGCTAGACGCCAGCCAGCCAGCCAGCCAGCCAGCCACAACAGACTCGCGACATCAAAGTTTAACAGAGCAAACAAAAATCCGGGGATATCTTGAAGAAACCCTCCCTCCTCTTCAGAGCCCGCCGATATCGCCCAAAACCGGTAGACAACCGCCCGGTTTTGACAGACAGGCAGGCCTGTAATCTCTTCAACATGATCATGGGTCTTGGGTACAACCGACTTCCACAACTTGGTCCACGGTCCACATATCAGGACTCTTACCGGCTCTTTCGCTGCCGTGGTAATCCTCCTCTTGCCTTTGTGTCTTGACACATTTCTCCCATATCATCATCAACAAATTACCAATCATCAACATCCCCATCCCACTGATCTCCCACATCCGCCCATCCACACCCCCACCTCCTCCCGCCCGTCTCACCACCGGTTCTCAAATCCGCCGCCTCCTCGCGACCCTCGCGCCAGCATCTCACGAGATAATCATCGCTGGCCGTCACCAAGCTGCCATCCAGCGTCCACGTAAGCGCGCCCACCTCCTTCTCGTGTCCGCGCACGAGCGGCGTGCCGCGGCGAATGATGGGCGTGTTTGATGACTGGTGATGGCCGCCCTTGATACCAAACAAGCTTGCCGAGGAGCTAGTTCCCGGCCGTCCTCCTCCTCCTGACGAAGAAGACATGGACATCAGTGATGATGAAGGCAGAAGGGAAGTGGTGGCGCTGCGGGTAAGACGCGGACGAGCAGGTGTGACGGGGATGCAAGAGGTGGGTTCGCCGACAAGGTACGACTCGTCGTCTTCTTGGTTCGGGTGCTGGCGCTGCCAGGCAAAGGCTTCCTTGATGTAGCGCTCGTCGGTGGGGAAGAGGACGGCGGCGCCATCGCTGCTGCCGACGGCCAGGAGCTCCGAGTGACCGTTCTTAGCGGGCCGGATGGCGGATTTCACGTAGAAGCTGGTTGCGTGGAAGAGCGGGTGGCGGAAGCCGTAAAGCGGACCGAGACCCTCATGTGCGGTGCCGTGGTTGTGGTGCCGGCGGCGCGGGGGTTCTTCGCCGGGACGGGCGGCGGTGAGCTCGACGGCGTGGCCGAGGACGAGGTGGGCGGTGCTGTAGGCGTAGACGGTGTTGTCTTTGCAGAGGGTGTAGAGGCGGGAGCCATCGCCGCCGAGGGCCATGGAGGAAATGCCAAAGGGGCGCCAGTTGGCGTGGCTGGGTAAGGGTGCTGTGAAGGAGACGGGGGTGCTGTACTTGTGGTGGCGGCTGGTGTGCACGGCGCGGATGTCCCAGAGCTTGACGCTGGCATCGGCTTCGCAGGCAGTGAGGAAGAGGTGTTCCCTGCCAGGAGGAAGGAACTGCAGAGCCGTGACAGAGACTTCACCAAGGCGACCAGGTACCTCGCCTATTCGGGCCACGTCGACGTTACTGGCGCCGGGTAGCAGATTGCGAGCCTGTTTCTGGGGAATGCGTGAGTGGGCATCATAGATGCTGTTAACAACGCAACCAGGGTTAGGGGTGCGAGGGAGACGAGCGTGAAGGCCAGCTTCTGAGCGGATAGCAACGTCTTGCACAGGACCGCCTCGGCAACGGAGATCCCAAATCTGTACGCTGCCATCTCTACTAGTTGTGGCAAGGACAGAATTGGCGCCGCGGCCCGGCTGAAAACGGACTTGTTTGAGGGATGCGGTGTGGTGGCCGAGGATCGAAATGGGCTGCTGCGTTACAAAGTCCAATACCTTGCCTGTTTGGTCACCAGAAGCTGTGGCAAGAAGCAAGTCATCGTCGGAGAAGGCCATGTCAATGATGGCGTTGCCATGCGCCTGGAACGACATGTTGATCTGAGAGAACTCATTCTGGGTGTCCAGCAGACGCACATACCCTTCTTCGTCACCTACAGCAACAAGATTCTTGGCTTTAGGGTGGTCAGCAAACGGAGTTATCGGCTAACGAATACATGCTGACTTACTATTGCAGCTTGTGGTGCAGAATGGGATGCTGCGAGGATGTCCTTCATGGCTGTTCATAAAATGGGCGTCTTCTCGGCGACTATAAAAGTCTGCCGTTTCCGACCGCCAGTCTGTTTACCGAGTCAGCTTAGGCTCGAGAAAGATGCAAAGATATATCACCACATACCAGAAACTGGGCATGATAAAGACCTGTTTCCGGCACCAGGCATACCACCCGTCACTCTCTGCACCAGTTGAGCTCCCAATCCACGACGATCCAACTGTATAGGCGCACGGTTTGGCCGACGCCGTGTGGTTGGCAACTCTTGCTCATCATCATCATCACTTTCTTCCGACTCAGCCTCATCTCCATCGAGGGCCAATTGGGATGGCAGCTTCCGAATAGAATGGATGGGACTGCCGAGACGATCGTGCTTCAACTCGGGAGTCGGAAGTAACGCTGGGGATGTGGCTGCAGGAGAGGGTAGGTGGGATACATGCGATGCCTCAGCCCTCTTGGGTGTTGAAGCATGAGTGATCTTTCGACGCTTGGAGCTTCTCTGGCCATCCTGAAGGCTCGGTAACACATCTGGGATTTCCTCTTCCGAGATGGGCCTGAGAGGACTGGATGGAGTATGGGATCGTTCTAGGAGAGGACCGGCTAGATCACGAAGAGCCCTTTGGGAAGCGCTGGGGTGGTTATTCGCTATGACTCGGGGAGTAAAGAAGCGCCTGAATTTCCGGGGGGTAATGGACGGGTTTCGACGTTCCTTGGCTGAGCTTCGCGGAGGAGAGGATGGAATGGGGGGGATGTTGTTGGTGGTGTTCAACGACGACGAGCTCTTAACTCCCAAAGGGGTTGAAGTGCTGTTGGAGTTATCGGCCATGGCGAAAGGATTCTCTTCGACTACCAGAGCGAAGAGCTGGGTCCAGGCCGCTTATGCAACACGATACCTAGAAACGAGGTACACGGGGCCGGCGACGCTGGATGCGCGCGACCTGGCAGCGAGGGGCCGCCGATGGGAAGGGTACGCGGAGACAGAGAACAGGCTGTGGTGATGGATATTTGGACAAGATCAGTTGAGCCACAGCTGGTGCAGAGAGATGTATTGCTGGCAAGTGTCGACTGGATGTTGGATAAGGGCTGACGTCGAAGTTGCAGGCTAGGCTGTGTGAAGCAAGCAGGCTGAGCTTGAAGAAGGACGGGAGGTCAAGGTCGTCGTTGAGAGACAAGGTAGGCGGCCGGGGGGGCGTAAGGTATTGGCGCCGAGTTTATTGGTTGGCGGATTTGGTCGTATGGATCCTCTGAGTGAAGTGGTGCGACCGGAAGAGGTGTGTCTATGTCGGTGTCTGGTGTAAGTGTGTCCTTGATACTTGAAATTGAATGCGTAGGTGGAGATGATGGAATTGGATTTGGTTGTTCGTTTCTGTTGTGGATTTGCGTGGTTCAGTTCCTAGAGGTACCTACGCTTTTGCCGAGTTTCCACTTGAGTAGGTTTGCCGGGCAACCAAATCGACAGCCATGGAAACCTGACCTGACCACCCACCCATGGACTCCATTGAACACCTCCTCCAGTGGGCAGAGGCTGGGCGTGCGGTCCGCAGCGGCTGGGGGGGTCGGGGGGCGCCTAGAAGGAATGCGGTTTAGTGCTCCATCGGGAACGCGAAGACGCGGGAACAAATGACGCGCTGGATCGCGAAAGCTTCATGGCTTTTTCGT